TCTTTTTACAACATTTCCAAGTATAAAATTGTTAACTTGTAACAAAACCTACAACTTCGTGTAGTCTGATCAAATATATATGATCTTGCTGAACATGAAAAAGTGCAACAGCTTTGAACAGGCCTGCATCCATGTTTTATGTAAGTTATAACTGATGCATTGTTTGTTGTTTCGAATAAACATACATGAGTTAAACTGATTTTTATAGCTTGCTCTTATGTTGTGCTGTTACACCACTGTCCCAGGTTAGGGGATGGTTGAGTGCTCACAAACATGTTTAACCCCGCCACATTCTTTATGAGCCTGTCCCAAGCCAGGAGCCTTTAGTTCAGTGGTTGTAGTTGGTTCATGTCTGTCATATTTGTTTTTCGTTAATTGTTTTGTTATAAATTAGGCCGTTAGTTTTCTATATTAAACTGTTTCATATTTTTCATGTCCGGGCCTTTTATAGCCGTCTATACGGTATGGGTTTTCTCATTGTTGAAGGCCGTAAGGTTGCCTATAATTGTTTACATCCACTTTATTTGAACTTTGGTGGATAGTTGTCTCATTGGCAATCATACCTGATCATCTCCTTATTCTTATATGTATGCAAAGCATAAATGCATGTATAAAGCTTGTATATACAACCATAAACATTTGTGTATACAACAAGCTGAAAATTAATAAAAGACACACCAATTTATAGCATTCAAATGATCCCGTTAGATGCTATATTTTACAACTTAACAAAAGGAACATTTCTACAAATTCCACTTAGTCATTACTTTGCTGTAGAATTTAATGACAATCAAATTTATATTTGCATGTTGTGTCGACTATTATATTATTTGTTTGTGCGTTTCTCTGTGATGAATGTTCTCACATGTGTTTGTGCTGTATTTCTGTCACATAATATTGTCATTTTAGCGATATCTTTTAACATTGCCATAAAGCGGGAGGTTTGGCTAGCCATTAAACCAGATTCAACCCACCATTATTTCTTAAAATGTCCTGTACCAAGTCAGGAATATGGCAGTTGTTATCAAATAGTTCGTTTCTATGTATGTTGGCGTTTGTTTTTGTTGCACTTCAGTGTTCCTGTTGTTCATTTGTTTTCATCTTGTAGTTGATGTGTTTCCATCGGTTTTGGTTTGTAACCCGGATTTGTTTTCTCTCAATCGATTTATGACTTTTGAACACCGGTATACTACTGTTGCCTTTATTAGATCTAGATCGTTTTTTATATCAATTTCCGTGTCTGTATGGCATTACTTTCGAACTCACAACTGATTAAAAATTTTGTTTCATAAATTTAGAGACGGACGCGCGCGGCACCATACTGGACGCGGGTTTTTAAAAAAAGGACTTTTTTCTGGTCGACCTTTCACAACACACGGGGGATCCGACGAACGAGGCATTAATTTGTTGTGGCCTAAATGTAAACTGAACATAGTTTTGTTAAAAAGATGACAGAATGATAGAATTTTCAAATATTTCGGCCTCGAGCACTACTGAAGAATTATTATGTGTCGAAATGCGCATCTGGTGCAGTAAAATTAGAACCGTTAATGTTATTGAATCTGAAAAAGAAAAGAATCTGCATTAAATTTTAAAGAACTGCATGTCCAATGCAATAAGCGTTTCAGAAACATTTAATAAAACAACAACACCCCCTAAAACCGAAACTAAAAACAACTAAAAACGAAAACAAAACAAAAAACTACTTTTTGTTATACGACCATACAAAACCATCAAATGGAAATAAATTCGAAATTATACTAATGCCACTTTTTTTCTATGTGAGATAAAACTATTGAAATTGAAGTTTTTGTTTAGGTTTAAATGCACATTAAATTTACCGTAGAACTGTTAATTCATATTCACATTTTTATGGTCAAACAAAAGTCTCGAAAAAACTAAAAAGAAAAATATAGACTGTAGAACATAAACCCTTAGTGGCTACTCAAACACTGTCTTCATCGTTTTGTCGCTCCTTTTTCCCGTTTTCTCATAATTTATCAAACTTAGAAAGGTTTCCTTTACTTCGTACATTGATATTATCAGTATGTCAATCCCGGTAATCCCTTCAAATCTATTGTTAGCAGTTTTGTTTTCTTGCACCATTTTTGTTTCGTCTGTAAGTATATTCAGCTACATGTACTTGACATTTTAATTCCTCACACTTTAAATGAGGAATGTTCTTTACAAATTAAATTCAATTAATTTGGTCAGTGAAAGTTGTATAGTATTAAATGTATTTTTTGATTCTTTTATATTTTCCACCACCATCCATTATTATTTCCTTATTTGACTGCTTGGCATTTTGGTATTAAATAACGTCAACATCAAGCGAGGTACTCTTTGGATGAGTAAATAGAGAATATCATATGGCTTTTTTAATATCATACCTGTATCAACCCGAGACACCAATATAATCACAAGAGCTCTGCTCGAGGAAATATATTGGTTGAGGGTTGATACAGAGTGTGATATTGAAAAAACCATGTCATATACACTTTATTATATATACATGCACCTCAAGTACAACTAATTTCGATTTTTTTCTTCACGTGACATGACGCAAAACATATATAAGGGGTTTGATAAAGCCCTGGTAACCGTGACTGATATCGATTACGTGAAGTCATACAGATTATGGGTTTGATAAAGCCTTTGCAACCGTGACTGATATCGATTACGTGACGTCATACAGATGAGGTGTTTGATACAGCCTTTGCAACCGTGACTGATATCGATATGATCAGGGTTGGCTGATACAGCATGATTGCCATTGATTGTATTACAATACAATTTACTTGTATTTACTATTAAGTATATAATAAACATGTTTATTATGAGCAGTTTAGTCTTTTAGTCTTTCATATCTAGATTTCTGATAAAAAAAATAGCATATTATTTTACTCTTCAGCATTCACGTAGAGATGTTGGTTTTATTCTTCTTTCAGAACAAAGCCTGATAAAAACTGCAATTAAAAAACACTTTTTATCTGCTTGAATATATTAAGTATTTGTCATTATATATGTTACTATCTAGAACAAATATTGCAGCAAAACAAAATCTCATTCGGCGATCGGCATTGTTGCACGCTGTACTTTTATGAGATGATAAGAGGGCAACCATTTGATTCTGAGGTTGGGGCCTTGCAGATTTTGTTGATAAATATTCGGGCCCCAATTAAGTTGGAAATGAATAATCTTTCCTTATCACACCTGAAAAAAATTATACTGGCCCAAAAATATTAAAGATGTTCAGAATATTTTTGGCTCGCTTCGCTCGCAAACTTGACCAATATATACAATAGTTTATCAAATACTGACAGTGGCGTATGCAAAGATATAGAGAACAGAGAGCATATCCCTTTGACCGGAATATATATATATATATTTAGCATAAAATCGTCTAAAAATGAACATCTTGTCATTTTGGATAACCCTTTTCAAGCATCCTGGATCTGCCCTAATTTTTATGCTGTTATATTTTGATATCGCAATCATGGCAATGCAATGTGTATCCTACCAAAAAGTGATCTGTATCATAAAAGTGAAATTAGTTAATCAGAAAATAATCTGGTCGCCTTTAATAAATATTCTGACCTCAACAAATTTACCAGCCCCCTCAGAATAAAATGGTCATCCCCTAATATAAATTACAAGATGACTCCCGAACCATACTGTACAATATAAAAATAAGATGTGGTATGATTACCAAGGAGACTCTTATCCACCAGAGTCAAAATGCTGTTGATTTAATTATATATAAGCAACTAAGACTGTTTAGATGTTGACCTTCATGGTATTCCTGTTTTTCCGTATTTACACATTCTTCCACTACAAATTGCTGTCAGAAATGCGTGAACTCGAAATGGTGCGAGACCAAAAAATGAAAACAGCACGTTATAAATTTGATTCGTCCGAAGCGCTTTTCTGGATTTACTTTCATCAGGAACGCTCAAAGCCGAATATGAGAAAGCCAAGGATGTATAAAACCGAAACAGTTGAAGAATTTTATAATAAAAAATTACCTAAAATAATAGCCAAATACTTCTAAGGTCAAGTGCGTCGACAATGTAAGAGTCGTCTGCTTTATATGTCTCAGCCCTTATGTAAATCTGGACCCAATCAAAAATGTAACAAGTGTATAAGATAGAATGGGCAATTTTACAGACCAAAAAGACGACCATGCTGGTGTCTTAAGAACTAGTTATTTTTTGTACAACCACATAAACATGTCTCTCATGTGTTGCAACATCACCATCGTATCGATCAACTAATTCAGCTATTCATTAATGTTGACACAAGTGCTAAGATACTGACATAAAGTAAATGATTCACTCATAATTTTTAATTTAGAATAAAAACTGTAATTGTACTAAATTTAATCAACTCGTTGAAAAGATACAAAGACAAAAGCCATGTAGAGGTCCTAATATGTCAAGATCTAAATCTACCGAATGCAGTTAAAATTTGAATATATTTAATAGTAACTATCAACTCTCTGACATTAACACCGAATTCCCCAAATGACAAATAGCATTGGCCCTAAGCATGTTAAATGCTCTCGATTGCTGTTTTATACAAGCCTGACAGTATTCCAATCCAAGAATCAATAATCTATGAGGCGACCTCTCATATTAAAGAAGTCTTCAATATACTCGCGGTTGATAAACATAAAGAAATCGGTATCATTTAATGGTGACACTTAGTTTAATCGTTTACTTGATAAAAAATAAACATATTTTGGGTAACTTCAGAAGTGACTTTGTAACGATCATGACAAACGGACCGTAGATTTTCATTCAGTGACACAAATGAATAGAACGACGTGAAATGAGTGACATTCACTTATCATTTTAAACCTGGGCAGAACACTGTTTTATGAACATATGTAATTCCTTAAATAAAACTTCAAATTTATATCTAGCTATATGCATGACATGTGCCTTCCAATGTTTGCTTATATATACTGTTTAGAGAATATAAAAAAGACATATACATGATATAGTTCAATAATATTTTTTAATATGAACTTAATGCAAACTTAATGAAAACATAAAATGGAATGCCCATAAAAAGTAACAAACATGCAACTTTAACATTACAAACAAGTCTATAAAAAACTAAAAACAACAACAAAACATTTCATTATACAATCTTTAAACTGCATATTTTAAAAAATATAGTATTGCCAAAAGCATGTTATAGTTTACGTACATGTAGCTTTAATACAACTATTTTTTTTATAACAAAACTAATAAGCAAAGTAAAGCCATGCGAGTCTTTTCGAAACAACAATGACGGACGGGAACGTCGATTAAAATGACAGCGGAATTTGTTAAAGAAATAAAGAACACTAATACTAAAAGAAATTCTGACATTGATATAATAATATTCAAGGACTATATATTTGAACGGTTGGGGAGCTTCTTTATAATGAATTTATTTCAATCGAGGGCAAAAAAAAATGTATGATCTTGTCAGACGGAATAATACGCTTTAATAAAATGCTCCGCTGGGGCGCAGCTAGATACGACCGCAGAGGTCAAACCCTGAACAGTTGGGGCAAGTATGGACACAACATTCAAGCTTGATACAGCACTGAATTTGGATTGTAATTAAATATTTGACACAGCATAGGTTTCTGACACAGAATGAAAGTGGTCTAAGAACTTATAATTTTTTAATTTACCTATTCATACATGTGATGGACTGTGAAACTCAGATCAGGAGATTGGGAAATTTTGGTCAGGAGATTAGGACTCAGATCAGGAGGTTTTTAATCGACATAAATTTTGTCGTAAATGTAACCGTGTGCTGTAAAAATGGTCTTTTAAAGTGTGTTTTCTTCAACTTTCCATCCAATTTATTATGTTTATAGTACCCTTGTACTTATAAAGTTTCTCCATCTTTATATTTTACATGTTCAATCTAACATTTTTTTTTTCAGTATGTTCTTTAAATTTTTTACTTCATATTCTATAAAACATTTATTGCAACCAGAACATTTGTTTAACTATCTGCAAATAGCTTTTGTTTGCATACTCAGAAAATCATTCTAACTGTAAAACAAGGGTCATAGTTATTATATAAATTTCAATTTAAGCCTTGAAAGGAAGTATAGAATCCTCAAATAATTTTCAAATTATTATTTTTTTATTTTTCCTAAGACATTTAAAATCATTTATTTACCATCCTTTTATGATTATTTGTTCAATTTATATTTTATTTATATTCTTTTAAAAATTTTCATTATTAAAAGGAAAGTAACTTAAAACAGGATAAATCAAGGGAAGTAACCCAATAAATACACAGTTTTTGTTACACAACAGCAGTTAGCCTGAGGTAAAAAATCATTGATTACCAGTATGTTTGACACCCAAGCTGACAAGTGAAGCCATATAATTATGCATGTTAATTGATTTACAGGTAAAATATAACTTCAGGTAATGTGAGTTACACCAGATGCCTGAGATGATATGTTGGGCAGAAATTTTTCATTCATGAAAAATTTCATACACGGGATTATAATTTTCCTCTTCAACCGGAGGTCAGGAGGAGACTCCTGAAAACAGGATTATTGTACACCTGTCGGGAGGTTCACATGTATGCTATTCAAACCATATCATTATTATTTGCTTTTATATATAAATCAGAAATAACCAATTTAAAATGGAAAATTTTAAAGAAAAAAAAGGAAAAAAAAATCCCCCCCCCCAAATTTTTTGAACCCCCTTATGATTCATCGCCCCCACACTCAATCCCAGCTTTCCCTTTGTGGTATGGTACCTTGCAGTACAATTTTAGAGAGATCCATTCACTTGAACACAAGTTATTGTCTGGAAACTAGAAAAATGCTTGTTTTTTTGTCCCTTTTTGGCCCCTAATTCCTAAACATTTAGGGCAATTACCCCCAAACTCCAACCCAGCTTTCCCTTTGTGATATGGAACCTTGCAGTACAATTTCATAAAGATCCATACACTAACAAACAAGTTATTGTCCTGAAACTAGAAAAATGCTTGTTTTTTGCCCCTTTTTGGCCCCTAATTCCCAAAATTTGGAGGAAATTACCCCCAAAAATCAATCCCGGTATTCCCTTTGTGATATGGAACCTTGTGATACAATGTCAGAGAGATCCATACACTTACACACAAGTTATTGTCATGAAACTAGAAAAATGCTTGTTTTTTGCCCCTTTTTGGCCCCTAATTCCTAAAATTTGGAGGCAATTACCCCCAAAATCAATCCCAGTATTCCCTTTGTAATATGGAACCTTGTGGTACAATGTCAGAGAGATCCATATACTTACACACAAGTTATGTCTGGAAGTTACAAAAATGCTTATTTTTGGCCCCTTTTTGGCCCCTAATTCCTTAACTGTTAGTACCATAACCCCCAAAATCAATCCCCACCTTCCTTTTGTCGTATTGAACCCTATGGTAAAATTTCATTGAGATCCATTCACTTAAACTAAAGTTAGAGTGCGAAAACTAATGTGTATTCGGACGACGACGCCGGACGACGACGACGACGACGACGACGACGACGACGACGCCAACGTCATACCAATATACGACCACAAAAATTTTTTTGCGGTCGTATAAAAATTGAAAGGAGAATATCATAGATTGATTTTTCAATTACACACCCATATCAATCCGATGAGCTATTATAATCATGAGAGCCCTGATAGAAGGATGATTTTGGTTTACAGTTGATCGGGTGTGTGACATTAAAAAAAGCCATTTCATGTATACACAAAATATGTTTTTTTTTTCCTGATGTGGTATGATAAAGACTGTGCAACCGTGACTGATATCCATATCACCACAGAGGAATTGTTATTGATTTTACTTGTCTTTATTTCATATTATGTAATAAACATGTAACTATATGTGTAAATTGAACAATAAACGCTTATAAAAAATACGCTCATGATAATTAAGTGAATTGTTACCAAAATAAAGTCGTGTTGATCTTGCAGAAACATTGACCAGCGAATCTCCCCAACCGAAATCAGAAAAACATCATGTGTAACTAGTTTAACAACAAGAAAAGACCCCCAAAAGGTAAAGACTACCTACAAAATACTAATTGATATGCCCAATGACTAATCTATTCACTATCTCTTGCGATGAGATCAAAATTAATAAGGTATCATGTTAATAAATTTTAGCAAGTATTGCATCGAAACCTAAATCATGAATTTTATTGATAACGTCACTTTCTCTTTGAATTAGTTCTTTTTGTTTTAGTTTAAGTAAAACCTGGTATCCTTGCTCTACAACATCGTCCTTGTAGTTCTGTTGAATGTTTACAAGATCAGTGTCAGACAATCCTAATTCTCTGGCCAAACTACGGAATTTGTATCTTGGACCAAGGTTTCTTGCTACTTTACTCATAAACTTTGTTGACAGCTCTTCTGTAAAAAATAAAATTGTTTTGGCGTAAACACAATTCTTCGGGAATCTACAGAATTTTATGAATTACAGAGGATAAAACTGTACATTTTTGTGTTTTAGAAAAGAAACATGTTCCCAAACTTGAACCATTCTGTTTTATATTGTAATTTGTGTATCATTTTGATTTATAAGAAGACGTAACTATGTTTTGTAGACATCTTTTTGATATTTGTGCCATTGGGTTGCTTATTCATTGACGTATACAGCATATTTCTTTGATACATCGTATGCATTTTGATAGTTATTTTTCATCTTTTTATCTTTAATAGAAATATCGAATAATAAATAATCTAAGAAAATTCAACAAGACAGCAATCTGGCTGTGTATTCGTGTTCCCTATTTGTCCTTATTACCTAATAATTTAATTTTGGATGTAACGCGTCTTCTGATTGGCTGATGTTGTTTTGTTTATCAGCTCATAGGCATAATTTTGTCATGTGACCGTGACGTCATCAACGTTTTTTCATGGTTTACTCAGGTTTAAAATGGAATTTAGAATTAAATTATAAGAAATGACTGGAATATTTTTTCTGTCTATTCGAAATAACATAAAAAATGTGGTGCACACTTTAAAATAACCCGCTACGCGTGTTATTCAGTGTGCACCACATTTTTGATGTTATTTCTTCATAGACAGAAAAAATATTACAGTTATTCCTTAAATGGTTAAAACATTACAAAATAGCAAAATTAATATGGTGAGCAGTTTATTAATTTATTTTTCTTACCAAAAAAAAAAAAAAACAAACATTTATCAGCATTAGAAATAGTTTTAAATTTTAACAAATATTATTAATTGTAATATTAAATATTCAATTTTCAATATTAAAAGCTAGAATTGTTCATATTGAAAAAATATATAATATCATTTATATTAGAAAATTCATTTAATCTATAAATGTTACAAATAGATTTTAAGTATTAGATGATCAGACTATCCATTATATATCAAAATCGTGTATTAATGTTAGAAATTCATGTTGATTGTTTAATATTTTAATTACGCCACCTTTGAGTTATGAAAAGGCTTTTATTCTTTAAAAATTATTAGCACTTGTTAAGCATTTAAATGATCGGACCCCATAAATGTAAATCAGTTCAAGTTGATGGATGATACTTTCAGCAAGAGCGACTTTGTTCAATTACTTGAAAATGTTGATATCTTTCATCCAAAAATATTAATCGCGGTAAGGAAAATAATTTTATAAGAACCGAAGTTAGATAATTTCGAAATCATTGTTTTCTTTAGAAGTTTTATTTGATTGTCTTGTTGATTGTTGAAATTTCATTTATGATATGAAATTTATTAGATAAACTGGGTCCGATTGTCGAAACTATTACGCCTGTTGTGTCTTCTGCATGTCATTCGTGTGCATGCATGCAGCTTACCAACACCTCTATATGATCCCGAAAAAAAAACATGTTGGAGGTGTTGTTTCATTTATGTTGACCCCCAACCTACTTTATAAATATAATGTTACTACCTTTATTTTCCCACCGCTGAACTTTCTGGAGAGCACTCTTTTGACCACTTGCATATGTTGCTAGAAAATTGAAAGCTGAAACAGTGCTCCTGTGAATGTTCTTTTCTGACCAATTATATTTACAATCCCATGTTTGCACTTTTTCTATCACACTGTTTTTATCCGGAACATTGAAAGACATAAGAATTTTGTGTGGTTCCTGTCGTGATGTAAAATCTGTATAACCAGAATCTAGAATATTGCTTTGTGCTGATACTTTTGTAAAACTCACATCAGGATACGAATACCGTTTTGAAAGACTTAAATTTGAGTCTTGTTCAATATCACAGATATTTTCATCAGATTCTGAATCATCACCTTGAAATTCACAAAAAGGATATGTAAAAAGTCTCGTCCTTTTCCGTCGAAACGGATAGCGTCCAGATGGTGGAATTAATGCTTTTGTTTCATCATCTTCTTCGTCTTCTGTATCACAATGATTATTTCTTTCATCGTGCTTCTTATAAGTACATTGTTTTCCTTGTTCTTGGTGAGGACTGTCGCTGCAAATCACATTGTCGTAAGAGCCGTATTGTCCAGCTTCTGCCTGGACAGCATGTCTACGCTGAGCTAGAAGAAAAAGAAAACAAACCACTTACTTTTGATGATCTGACAGTCCTGTAAGTTGTATAGATACTTCCTTGCTTCCTTTTGTTTAGAACATGTCCGTGTATTTATAATCTTGCAAAGGGTTCTAAAATAAGCCTATTACAGAAAATTTCCCCCCTATGGTACATGCTAGAAGTTCTAGAAATTGTTTTACTTTCAATCCCGAAGGAAGATAATGGATTTCCAGATTATTTGAGTTTCGAGGAGAAAAAAGAGTTTAGTACGACAAATATTGGTACATTTACATACAATTTTGCAACTAATGAATTTTTTTTACTTAAGGAACAAATCAGACATTACACTTCTTCCATAGAAACGAGGAAGCTAACTGACTGTTTCCAGAATCGACAATTTTTGAACGTTGATGAAAAATATTCAGTACCTTTATTGCAACAGCAGCAATGTAATTTATTTTAATTCTTATTTAATAACACTTGGTCGATACGAATGGAAGTACATGCTATTATCATCAATAGTAGGATACCAAAGGGTCAAGTTTAATTACGTCATAAGATTGCACTACCTTTTAAGCTATGTAGTATTCCAGTTGCGTATCTATTAAGTAGATTAAAACACGGAAATGTGTGACTGCCAGTGAGACAATGGACTATCTAACAAAGGCCAAAGGATTAAGATCAGCTACATATTTGAACTGAATTTACTGCCACTTGGTCTATATCACTTGTAATAATCGAGCGTAATACTATCACCCAGGCATTTTAGTATTCAAACGTAGAGCTTGGCATTTGATATAGACTTTTATAAACTTTACCATTTTAGCTGGATGACACGTGTCTTAAACGAACCATTCAATTGCTATTCACTAAATTTTACCTCTTTTCGATTTCCAGTATCTATATCCAAATGCTCCAACAATTATCATTATAATTATTATTATGATTATTACTGCAGACACAATTCCTGCAATTGTATCTACAAATACAAATTTGAAAATGAGGAGGTTTAATATTATAACTTGGTACATACGTGAAATCATCTTCGGTAGCAAAGAGTTACGATCCCGCCCCCACATTTTCACGAAACCTGACCGTAACCCTTGACTAACTAAGATGACGTAAAATTTAAAACAAAATAATAAAAATTATCCGTTAACAACACTAGATTTCCTCTCTGCAAAACAGACATATCTTATTTGTTTTGTTGAATTAATTTTCAATTTTATGCTTTGATATTAGTAAAGACATCTGATATATATATGAATAATACACACAGCTAAAAGAACATTTGGGATTTAGTGACTACTACTGTTGCTCATATATAAATATTGATTACATACCGTCCATTCATACATTTTGTAGTGATTTGTGTGTTGTTGTTGTTTTGTGTTCTTATTTTATTTTGTTTTGTGTTGTGTGTTTTCTATTTGGTTTAAGTCGCTGGAAGCGCTAAACAAACAAACAAACAAAACGAATGCAAATATGAAATTGTAATTATGCATTAAGGAATATTTTACGGAATCATATTCGGCAAGTTTCATTTGCAATTATTATGGTAGTACATGTGTTTTATTGTGGCCTTCTAAATTATGACAGTTGTTGAATATCTGCTGAATGATTGTTACAAGGAAGGAATAACTATAAAACACTTCTTATCTATAAATGAATGATTGCATTCCATTACTTTTAAATGATTATATGACAGTCGTAAATACAGTTATTAGAAGTTTTATAACCTTAAAGCTATGCAAAGATTCAAAGTGAGAATCAACAGCTATAAACATGAAAACATTACAATACAAAAATAAAAAAAAACATATGATAATATTTTTATATTGTGAATTGCAATAGAACTTTCAAAAGCTCCTAATTGCATGGAAGTATTACATTTCCATAAAGTCGAATCCTTTGAGATAGAAAATATACAATGCGAATTAAAGAACAATGTTTAAAGTATAATAGGTATACCTGATTGTAATCCCACAGAAATCGTATGTCCGTCACCTTCATCTACAAATCAAATTATTACGTTCAAGACTTAACATGTATATTTATGATTGCATTCTTATAACTTTGTAAAACGGATATGTTTGTTAAAACAATCCTGTATGTATAATTCGTTATGAATATTTTCATTAAAACGCAAAGCTAAGAATTTACCTGGTCAACGTTCACCAAAAACTCACACCGGAACATCATAACTTTACGACGGACTTTCGATTGCAAATCTAAAAAATCTCAGGGATTGATTGGGTATAGAAATATGGTCATCCCTAGAATTTTCTCGAACATGAAGTATTTGCAATTCAACGTTACCTAAACAACAACAATTAATCAATAATCAATCATTGTCTACTTGTAAGCGATATATTTGGCGGAAATATGTATATACACTATCAGCAGTCCATATTGAATAACACTGACCATATGAAACGAATGAATGTAGAGAAAATCAGACCAAGTTCGATCTTTCAAGTTATCAAGTCTTTAATCTGCTTGTATGGTTTGTACTATACAATTCTGTTTTCCATCTCAGTATATTGGATTTAATGCCTGCTTCATTTTATTTGAATATTTTAACAAATTCTTTGACCATTAATACTATTTATTGCTATAACTCGTTTACTATTTCGATATAATTACTAGTAGTAATCAAACTTTTAAAGTTTGAAGTTTTCAATCAAAGCTTACATAATTTGTGTCTTTGCTTTCTTTTATTTCGTATGGTTGCGGAAATTTGCTCTTCTCTTTTTTTATTCCAAGTTTTACTCTCAATGGAAACTGATTTGGTTGCTGAAAGACGGATCGCGGCTTTTAAGTTTTCATTCAGTTGTCAGATCACAATCTCCTTCAAATATTGTACACTTACCTGTTTCAACTGTGTCCTTTTTAACAATTGACCTTAAAACATAAATTACAAATATGTATAACAATAAAACGATTTGTTTGTACAAATTATTAGTGTTTTTTAAACTTCTTAAAATAATTGGACAAAAAAGCACACTGTCTTTTATTGAGTTCATCACTATATCAAATATCAAATGCAAATGCAAAACTTCGGGACATTTGGGAAATATTCGGCTTTCAGCTTTCCTGATGAAGGTTAATCCAGAAAAGTGATTCGAACGCATGAAATTTATTGTTTTTTTCAGGGTTTTTTTTTCGGAGTCGACGATCTTGCTTTATAAGTTGTTAACATGAGAAGAAATCAAAAGGGGCAATGAAAAAACAACATTGTAAATAAACAAAAACAAAGAGAAACATGATACAATACACAGTAAAATACAGATTGAGTAATTTTAACCCTTTAAATAATTATATTAATGGTCTCCGGAACAACTGTAGTACTTGCCACACTATACTTGTAGATGTTACTAATAAAAACAGTACTTCTACGTACTGCGGTTCTCCACACACTGTATCCTCCTTTGATGTACAATGTTTGCGCTCAGACTTGTTTAAATCTGTGCAGATGGTACATAGTTTACATTTGTATGCATGTACATCACTATAATACCCTGGTTTGCATGGGCGGCATGGTATACAGCTAGAAGAACCATATGGTGGATCTATTACAATGTCAGATTCCTGTAGGTAACGAACAACACAATTGGAAAAAAAGTTAGATAAAATGGTTATGGCGTAATTGATCCGGTATAAAAAAAAAAAAGGCTTAAAATCACTTTCAATGAAATAATAACAGAAAATCATACGGAAACGGAGATAAATATTCAAATTGAGGGATACTTTGCAGTCGACTCATCTTTTCTTGTATGCACATTACATACGCATTATGTTATGTCAGATTAATAATTTGCAACATAATCAATATTTGGTATCTATTTTTTTTCTTTCAATTTTCCATCTGTAGTCTGAAATGTTGATGGTATATAATGACAAAAGAAGTATACAATTCAAACTTCAGCATAACTCATGTTTATAACATAGAGGTATTGTGAACAATAAATTTGACAAACTCACTTTACGCATTGCTATTTAATTAATACAGCATCAAAATCCATAAGTTCAGGTACAGATCACATTTTATTAGTTTACCTATTTTCCTAAATAATAGTTCTGGAATCTGTTTATTCTAATTTTTTTCAAATTATAGATGTTGTTTCATTTCACATGTACACATTACTTGCTACTGAGGAAACGTCTCTATATTGCGTCAAACATTCAGGACGTAACATGCATAGAGTAAATTTTAAACATTACAAACATAGAACCACAGAATGTGGCACTGAAAAAAAATGAGTAAATCAAACATTTCTACAAAGGACACTTCATGACACCTTAACTTATTCATTTAGTGAATTATACACAAAAGCCATGTGCAGATTTGGCTTGTCGTTTATCATGTAGAGAATTCTATACATGCAACACAAGACATTTCAGACGGGAAAAGACATATGTAGCTCGATCTGTAAACAATTTTCTCAATTCATTACTTAGAGACGTTATTTTGTTGATCAAACTACATTTGTCTATCATTCAATCTTACATTTTATATTACTTTACAAGATAAAGGTGTTCAAAGGTAGACACTATGTGCATCAACAATCACTTAAAAACAGGCAGAATATATCAAAAGGACATTCGACACATAAGTCGAGAGAAAGGCCATCGCAAAATGACGACGAAACGGCAAACACATTTACAAAACAATACATAGAAAAATAAAGTTTGAGCAGCACGCACCCCTCAAAAACTTGGAGTCATTTCAAGTGTTCCGGAGGGGTAAACAGATCCTGCTTAACTAGTGGCGCATGTCGGGTTGCTCGTGGTAAGTACAAGTTCGCTGATGAGTTTCGTTTGATGATGTCGCAATTGAAGAAATGTCAGAATTGTGAAAATTACACATATATACACAAAATATTCGTTTTCGTTTGAACAGATTTCCCATTAGACTCAAACTTTGCTTAGCTTCTTAGAGTTTTCGGGGTTGAAGTAGATCGTATTCGTTACTTCCTTACAGGGGTGAATTTAGTACCACTCTAATAGGGGGAGCTTTCTGGATAACACTGAAAACATGTGCACCACTGATTAGTAAATAATTATTGAAATGGATATTTGTAGATAAGATGGATCAAAACTACGGTTTACAAAAATTTCAAGCAAACTAAATGCTGAATGCACTTAAATGTTTTACAGCAATATAGAAAAGTAATTGGGGTAAATGTAATAATTTGGTACGAACGTCTAGTGTTTGTAAACAAGGCCATGTGAATTCCCCCAAAAGCCACATGACCCTAGGTTTTGATTGTTGGAAAAGATGGGACTACATTTGTTCCTTAACGAATGATATATGAAAGCTACTAATTTCTAACGAAAAACAAGGTATAAATTCAATTTAAGAAATATGTTTGCATTGAAGACAATCGGAGATTCTTTTATTAAATTACCCCCTCCAGGTCTGTTCTGTCATGAATAGTATTTGTACCTGTAACTTAACTGGTCAAAACCTAGAATCACACATCTTCCTCCCTTGAAACAAATTAACTTTCATTTCGGGAGATTTTACTTACTCATTTGTATTAAACAGGGACAATAAATCACAACACACAAAGTTTTAATAAATGAATAAGATAACTACTAACGTATTGATAAAAACCATCAAAATTAATTGACATATAAAGGACATGCCATGGGTTATTGTATGTATTCGGCTGCAATGAGGATACGCATATTATTTGTTTGGTAGCAAGTTTCCCGAGCATGGATGTTAGCGCAAGATGAACTATTAAATAAATTAATTTTACAAGTCATTGGAAACTACATTAACAAGATACATAGATTTTAACACTTTCCAAATGTATAGCTAAAATAAATTTTGGCTATGTATTTTTAACAGGGAATATTTATAAATATAAATTTTGAAGTGAAATATTAATAATACAATATATTCCTATATGTTACTAGACCCTTTAAAAATAACTTTTTTCTTTGTCCATTTGATATACAAGTTGCATTCTTGCGGAGTTAAAAAGAAGTTATTGAAACAAAAACAAACATATGTGCTTTTAATTACCTCATTACCTTTTTGGTGCATTTAATGACAAAATGCCTTTCCAATCTGATAAATAATGAAATAGTTAAGAACATACAATCATTTATTGAATTGTAAGTCGACTGAAATAAATTGATAGGTTGATTTGGCAAACGTGTTTTTCATGAGTAGTATATTTCAAAAAACAATAGGAAGAATAATAATTGCAATAATTACACGAATTTTATCTGTGTTTACATAAGTCACACAATAATTTATTAACTATATGTATATCTAATGTTATTAATCACGCCTGGTAAACCATCATATCTCAACCACATGGTTAAGCGAGAAAAAAGTTTACTGGCACTTCCTGTTGAGCTTTTCTGGTACAAAATATCAAAAATATAATCAATTTATTGTCAATCTGTAAATATTTTGTTAAATAAGAGAATGTCATGCCATAGATAACTTAATGAGAGGTTGTCTCGTTTATTACTCGGACCAATGTAATTTGAAATGACATCGGAATGACTTTTCTCCCGTAGGTAAGTGCGGCCAGCTCAGTGAGTTTTTGACAAAGTGACAGTGAGTTCATCAATACGTAACGTAAATATCAGTATACTAGTGTGTTCTTCTTAATCAATATAAACGTATAATAAGAAATTTTTTTCTATTTCTTACGAATTTAATTTAATTTTATTAAGCTGAACATGTTATAAAGTATGCCAGGTTGAAATTGTCTGGTATAGGTTGTGATATTCTGTAACAATGTTGAGATCTACTGTCGAATAAAATTTTCAACTAGCTACGTATCAATCAGACACAACCGTCAAAATTCATGAACTTTCTGTATAGTGGTTGTCATTTTAACTTGTTCCTGGTTTTGACATTAGTTTTATATGGAGTCCTGTTGGTCTTATACAGATACTAAAGAGATGTGTTTTTAAAGTCTAGCTAACGAGATGGAAAGTCTAGCGCTGAAGATTTAAAGTCAAGCGCTGTACGTATAAAGTTCGGCGCAGTAGATGCAAAGTCCAGAGCTGTAGATCTCAATTTTCAGAGCTGTCGATTCAAAGTCCTGCCTTGCTTCCTAACAAATAAGGCTAACTGTTGTGTCATATATGTGCATATGTATGAAAACAGCATCTTCCATAGATCTGATTTACAATAGGTAAAATGGTAAAATATAATCTCTTTTAGGTGTAACAAAGGAAACAATTTTCATTTATTTGATACAAAGTATTGCAAAACGGGGGATAAAAATGTCACAAATGTCCCGAAAATAATGTCTAAAGTAGAAATACTATCCATTTGAATGACATCTTTTCTGAAACCATTGACAGTTTATCTATCTAGATGTCAAATAAAAACCATATGCATTTTAACATAATTTTTCAATAAATTAGAGGCTCTAAAGAGCCTGTGTCGCTCACCTTGCTCTATGTGCATATTCAACAAAGGACACACTCCAACATTGAAGACGAGAATATAATTCATGACAAAAATCTCTGTTTTGTTGATCTTCTATTACTGATCATTTAGTCTGTTTAGTTTCTCTCTATCTTCTTTGGTTTTTGCTCCAAACACAAAAGAGGGTAAACAAATCCTCATTTAAGGGCAATCACTCCTATAAAGAGTGACAATCTACTAATTATATCGGCAAAAATTGACTTGTTCGTAGATCTTGACTTGCTGATCATTTTTGTGATTTAAAGGGTCTATTCATCTATTATAATTTTTATCATATAAGGCAAAACGCAAAAATAATGGTGAAAATCGTCATTAAAGGGCAATAACTCCAATAAGGAATCGTCGAACGATCTCCTCCATATTGTCTTAATCGTAGATCTTGTCTTGATGATTATTTTTGCTTATTTAAGTTTCTGTCTATCTTTTATAATTTTCATGATGTAAGGCACACAACGTAAAAAATTGTTAAAAATCGTCATCAAAGAGCAATAACTCTGATAAAGAGTCGACTGACGATTTCGACCATGACACTTATGTGCAGAACTTGTCTTGCTGATCATGTTTGCAATTTAAAGGTTCTCTCTATCTATTACAGTTTTCAAGATAATAAGCAAACATGAAAAAAAGGTAAAATTTGTCATTTAAGGGCAACAACTCCTATAAGAAGTCGTCTTACAGTTTTGACGTATATAAACAATTGGTAGAGCTCAACATTCTGAACATTTCTTTTTGAAAGTTATATTATTCTTCAGCTATCTTAGAATAAATTTTAGTGAACACCAATTTTCTTATTTAACCGGGGCCGAATTGCGAAACCAAACTCCTAACTGTGTATTGCTACCTAATACCTACAGCGCTCGACTTTACTTCTCGAGTGCTTACTTAACATCTTCAGCCTCTTCAGCGCTATACTTTACATTTCGTTTTCTAGGCTTTAAAAACCACTACTCTTTAGTATCTGTAATAATAAACTAACAGGACTCGATCATACAAAACTAATGTCAAAACAAGAAACAAGTTATATAAATGACAACCATTATACAGAGGATTCATGAATTTTGACGATCGTATCCGATTGACAATTAGCTAATTGGACGTTTTATTTGACTAAAATCTCAACATTGTTCAAGAATATCACAACCTATACCAGACAATCTCAACCTGACATACTTTATAACATATTCAGGTTAATAAAATTATATTCGTAAAGAAATAGAAAAATAAACTGTTATTGTACGTTAATAGTGACGATGAAGAACAGTTATATACTAATTTATACGTTACGTATTGATGAAATCATTGTCATTTTGTCAAAAAACTCTGTGATGGCCGCACTTACCTACGGGAGAAAAGTCATCCATTGGTCCGAGTAATGAACGAGACAAGCTCTCATTTAGTTATCTATGGCATGACATTCTCCTATTTAACAAAATAATTACAGATTGACAATAAATTGATGAAAAGTGGACCTACCCTATCTAAATTTTTGACATTTTGTACCAGAAAAGCTCAACAGGAAGTGCCAGTAAACTTTTTTCTAGCTTAACCATTTAGTTGAGATTTGATGGTTTACCAGGCGTGGTAATATTAAATACTATATAAAAAATAAGAATAAGCAATCTAAAATCTGGATATGCATGTTATATTTTTTCATTTGCTTTAATTTCTGTTCGATACTAGGAGATTATTTTTTTTAATTTTTAGTTAAAAGCTATTCAATATTGTTCAAAACAACATTCATCAAGATAAATGTATTTTCATTATTTACCTCCAGTTGTTTTCTCAATTTTTATTTATTCACCTTTGCAATTTAAATGGTAAATTTAATATGTACACGGGAGACGAATTAAATTATAAAAAATACATATAAATTTTTACATTTGTAATAGTTTATTTGTTGCAATTTGCTGTATCTATATTTATCAAGGCGAATTACAAGCATAAATATATTACCTCTAATGTAATTTTTCCGTAGCCAGCAGGACATTTTTCACATTGGATACACTCGTCAAGTTGCTTATGATAGGAAACATTATCCAAAGGATCACAGAGCAATGTCATAGAGGTAATTGTGGTAAATTTCGTTAGACACAAAACACAAAATACTTGGATGTTCAGCATTTTACTGATCCATATCTGAAAATATAAAAAAGAATCACAATTTCATTACAATTATCAATGAATAAAGATATTTACATTAGGCATTTTTGTGATAATCCTGTTATTTTGCACTGCATTTGTAAACATGACAAATAACAAAGTTCAACACTTCACTTGCCTTGATAGAAATGAAATGCATTTTGTTCTCAAGTGCACTCACCCATGTATTAATTCCAACATAAATTATGATACCACTTGAAAATTTTATCCGTCTGAAGCGCTTAGCTGGAGTTACCTCTAGATCTATCAATAACGCTCAAAGCCAAAACAAATTGAAAGCCAAGGGCCTATAAGTTCCAAAACATGTGAAGAGCTATATGACCAAAAGGGACCTAAAACTAATAGCCATTTCTATCTTAGGTGAGCTTTGCCTGGTTGAGTTGGAACCTTAGTTTCTTAATGATTAACTGACAATTTAAGAAAGGTATGTTATAAATCATGTCAGTATCGAAGCACTGACTATTGAGCAAATGATACACTTGGGAACTAATAGTCCACCAGCAGCTGTATCGACCCAGTGCTATCACAAATGAAAATAACACTTCATAAATTGTATGCGTTCGAAACGCGTTTCTGGAAATACCAAATATAACTCAAATGTTCAAACTTTACAAACATTAATACAGAAATTCTTGTATCTGAAAATTTAATTTCTGATACATCATTTAGTCTGTACCTGAATATCTAATAATAAGACCTAAAAAAGATATACATATAGATTTAATAATTAGATTTATCCCTCGTTTTGCTTGTCTCTTCTCCTCTAATGCAGTATTAATCTTTTAATAATCAGTAATATAAGTATGAATGTTTGTTTTCGTGTGCGTTTGCTTCAAATCTTAATATTTTGCTTGATATTGACAGAGATGGAATCTAAAATCTATGACAAACGTGATGATTTCAACTTTCCAATTGTCAACTTCCCATTACAACCTTAGTAACCAGCAGTAGCATACCCTCTGATCCGTCGTATGGCGTTTATATACCTCAGTTAATACGCTTTGCTCCTGCACGTTCACCCTATGTGGACGTCTTTAACAGGGTTGTGTTTCGTACACAAAAACTGTTCCAACAGAATTATGAGGAAGAATTACTGAAATCGACACTACACAAGTTTATTGTCACCATCACGAACTAGTGATAAGTTTTCATGGTCTTAGATATTAATATACCAGTATCTTCGTATGATCTATAATTTAACCGATTGTGTCCTATTAACGATTGTGACATTTTGATTGCGATGCCCCAAGTTTTTATTTGTTACTTTGATTTGTCTCTTCTTTATAGATTTGTGAGATTTAAACACCTGTAAACTACTATCGTTTTATTTTAAAACAATATTAAAACACGGTTTTGTTGATATAACTTGCAGATAACATACAGACAAAACAAAATCATAGCCTTTCTGTAGTTAACTGTCAAAATAATCTATATAGTTGAAATTAAACAAAAAACACAATATACTTTGCCATGAATGTTCATTCATTTTGTTACTATGTCATCAATTAGAAAAGGGGGATTATAATCTCAATATTACTTTTATTAATCAATGAACCTGTTCTACATCCATCTTGTTAAATGGAGCATAGCTAACATTTGGTGAAAGTTAAAAAAATAATTGAATAGTTTTTGTTCGGATAATATACTTGTGAAAAAATACCGTATAAGAAGCTGTTTAAAAGAGCATTACTTTTTTTCAAAATTATACCAACAGTTATTGTTCACACAACACAACGTACACCCTAAGACCTTAACCACATTCGATAGCATACAGTGGAAATACCCTACGTCATTGGCTTCATCAGTGAGCAATAAATACAATTAAAGATAAACGAATATCTCGGCTTATTTCTTTTAAAAAAAGTGTGGTGGAATACGGAAACGTCCTGATGTTGGTCATGCTATTATACATTTTAGTTATGACTTAATGTTTATGAAAAGAAAGGAATGCGTTATTAAATTGTCAGGTAACGTTTTTAAAGTGTGTACATATTGTTTAAAATCAAATGAAATTTCACATTCAAAAAAAAAGTTGAATATGTTTTATATACTTGAATGGCTACGTTGTATTACAAAAACAAGTGTACATGGATTTTCTTGTGAAAGTAAATCCATTATCTTATTAAAATCTTCAGAAATGTACTGCTATTGAATTATTGTCTTCCCGTATACGAATTCGTCGATATTTTTCCGTATGCAGTGACCTTAACTACGACACCTCTCGTTAGAACTGCGACCATCGCACAGCGCAAGTGCAAGGGAACAGCGTGATAGAATGTAAACAAACGTGCACTGAAAGTTAAATAGTAATAATTGATTCTTAAAGAACAAATTAAATACACAAAATCATTTTACAACAATTATTGAAAAGTCTATATGCTGAGTTTTCTTGCGTTTGTTTGTACTGTATTCCTGTCACGTAGTGTTGTCATTTTAGCGGCATTTTTAAAATTGCCATATTAGCGGGAGGTTTGGCTAGCCATTAATTTAGGTTCAACCCACCATTTTTTCTTAAAATGTCCTGTACCAAGTCAGGAATATGGCAGTTGTTATCTACAGTCCGTTTTTCTATGTATGTTGGCGTTTGCTTTTGTTGTAGTTCAGAGTTTCTGTTGTTCCGTTGTTTTCCTCTTATAGTTGATGTGTTTCCTCGGTTTTAGTTTGTTACCCGGATTTGTTTTTGCTTAATCGAATCATGACTATTGAACAGCGGTATACAACTGTTGCCTTTATTTATTAAACACATTGGAACGCATAGAAAAATAGAAAATAGATTAACATCGCTCTTTCAATTCACTTATTTTTTACATGCTCCACGTGCTTCTGTGTTGATTCTATATCAATGTCACGATCAGGTAAACTTCGACAACAAACTCGAAAGTAAATAAGCTTGCGATCAACAATCACCGAATGAAATATTATGTGCCGATTATACGTTATAGATTTGTAATTAATGTAAAAAAACCGAGCATATATGACTTAGTTTAGTATATATCCATGCATTGGTTCAATAATTTCCTGAATATCAAAATATTTTGAAACTCGTTTCATATGACTTTAATTAAAAGTCTTATACTTTATTACTGAAAAGAACAAAGATTGACACGTCGCCGTCTTTCTTTTTTGAGTTAACATAAATCTCTATATGTAAAAATAAAAAGATATGGTATGATTGCCTATGAGACAACTCTCCACAAGAGACCAAATGACAAAGAAATTAACAACTATAGGCCACCGTTCGACCTTCAACAACTAGCAAAACCAATATCGCATAGTCAGCTATAAAAGGCCCCCAAATGACAAAACAATTCAAACGAGAAAACTAACGGCCTTATTTATGTACAAAATAATGAAACGAAAAACAAATTTGATATACAACAACAGACGACAACCACTGAGTTACCAACTCCTGACTTGGTACAGGCACATACAGAATATGGCGGGGTGAAACAATTTTGAAGGTGTCAAACCCTCCTCTAACCTGGGACAGTGGTGTAACAGTACAACATAAACACAATATATAAAAATAAATGGATTTAGTGTAAAGACGTCATTAACAGTCAGAGGAAAACATGACCTTGTGCAATGCCAAGATACAGGTATCGACAGATTGTAGAGCCATGAATGTGCATATGTATATACAATTAATATTTAGTTTGATATTTTACCAGTAGACTTTTCCATTTTCTATATATTACCATTCCTACCGTTATGATGATTTTTCCCCTTGTATAATGTAATCAACACATGCTAAAAGTAAAATAACAAATATACCGAACTCCAAAGAAAATTCAAAACGGAAAGTCCCTAATTATCAAATGGCAAAATCAAAAGTTCAAACTCATCAAAAGAATGGAAAACGACTGTCATATTCCTGACTTGGTACAGGCATTTCCTTATGTAGAAAATGGTGGATTAAACCTGGTTTCATAGCTAACTTAACCCCTACTGTAATGTGGGTCCTATCTGAGAAGATCTTATTATGTTATAACGAATAATATGAGGCAGGTGTTACCTTTGAAAGGGGACGAAGTCTGTATACATTATTTGTTTAATTCAAGCATATTTTAACTGCAGAATCTGTTAAAAACGAAACGTCATTTGCAATATAAACAAAGAAACGCTATCATTAGGTAACGTTTTTTTTTCATATCAAAGAATTATCAAAAACAACAAATTTACGGGAAACAATATGATGCTCCTTCCAATATTGTACAAGTCTCGGGACAAATGAGACCGGAAGATAGAAAGAGATGTCTGCGGAAATGCTGGAAAAAATGTTTAAAAAAAAAGTTAACGATTTTGAGTTCATTAGTAAATTGATTTTTTTTTTTTTTTTTATTGATTTTTCTACCGTAATTGAAGACTTCGTCCCCGTATAAAATAATTCATTGTTTCGTAGTTCGAACAAATGGAAATTAACCGATCTATTTGTACCAAATGAAGTAAGAATAACTTGGAAGTTAACCAAAAAATGTTTCCGGCAGAACATGATAACATATTGGCTATACAATAGAAACATAAATCTACAAGATACAGGAAAACTCAAAACACGTTTCAAATTCAATGCCACTTTTAGTTACGAAAGTTATCCAATACCGAACAACGTTTTTAATCGAAAATTTGTCTGCAATTTTAGAATGTGTTATTATAAACAAAGTTGGAGAAAAGAAATGATATCAATGAAAAAGCAATAGCTCCGGAAAGCTTAACCTGCTGGCACATTGTGAAAAACTTGACTGAATTAATGGAAAATTAACTGTATGTTTTCGTTGAATGTCATCTCACAGATATGAACTCTTAGACAATTTCAAACTGTAAAAAAATTATATTTAAAAAATTCTTCATCTGGACTTTGACAAATGAATATTCGAGATTTTAATACATCGTTTAATATACATCTGAATAGATAAAATCTTCGAGAAATGTTAGATGAGACAAGAAAAGAAATCAATTTAGATTTATTAAAAAGAGTTATTCCTCTTTAAACTGCTTCCTTCACTTATGCATATTTGTTATTATTCATTTTTAAGCTCTAATTTAATATCAGTATGTATGTTTGCACTCGCGTGATGTATGTTTGGAAATTATAAATATTTTGATTATTATGTTTTTGATTGATTTGAATATTCCGTATGGGATTCTTGAATAAGAAATAACAAAATTGATATTCTAGCAATGGATAATAATCAAATGAACAAATAATGTTTGAGGAAGCATTTGCAGATAAGATACGCAACCGATGTAATCATAACTTTCCTTTAGGTAATTATAACAATACTCTATAAAGTTGAAATCAAACACATTACACAAATGGATTTTACTTGCATGTTCACCACTTTTGTGACTATATCTACTGCTATGCTTGCGTCAAATATCAGAGATTCCATTGACATAGCTTTAGGCCTACCCAAACGCAGCCCGCGAAGGCAATACAACCCAAATCGAGGAAGAGGTCATCCTAAAAGAGGTAGAGGAGGCAGGCGAGGCCATGGACGCTTCAGTTAATTTGACTATTATATTTCAGCAAATAAAACAAGAAATTTATTAGCTGTTGATTATGACACAATTTTCACTTTTTTTTCCTTATTGTTTTTCCATTATTACTTTAATTACTCTTGCTCTCAGCCTATTTTTACAGTTAAGGCGCTGTATAATATACCAAGACTGTCACATAAGAATATTATTTGGATACAGTAGAATTATAATATTTTTTGTATTATATACAGTAGAATTTAAAAATCATTTAAAATTACTACAGAGCAAGACTTATAAGTATATTTCTTTGATCATATCAAGTTAGGACTTAGAAACTTGACTGAATTAATAGAAAATTAACTGTATGTTATCGTTGAATACCATCATACATTTATGAACTCTTAGAAAATTTCAAACTGTAGAAAAATTATATTTAAAAACTCTTGATCTGGACTTTGACAAATGAATATCGAGATTTTAATACATCGTTTAATTTGCATCTGAATAGATAACATCTTCGAGATATGTGAGATGAGACAAGAAAAAATATCAATTTAGATTTATTAAAAAGAGTTATTCCTCTTTGAACTGCTTCCTTCTCTTAGGCATATTTGTTATTATTCATTTTAAGCTCTAATTTAATATCTGTATCGAGGATGTTTGCACTTGCGTGATGTTAGTTTAGAAATTATAAATATTTTTATTATTATGATTTTGATTGATTTAAATATTTCGTAAGGGATTCTTTAATAAGAAATAATAAAACTGATATTCTCGCAATGGATAATACATCAAATGAAGAAAAAAAAACGTTTCAGAAAGCATTTGACATACGTAACATAGCAGATAACATACGTAACCGATATAATCATAACTTTCCTTTATGTAATTGTAACAATACTCTATAAAGTTGAAATCAAACACATTACACAAATGGTTTTTATTTGCATGTTCAGCACTTTTGTGACTGTATCTAAAAATAGAAAATGGGAATTTTAACCCCATTGATTTATAAATGAATGAACCTGCAATGGCTGCTTTGCATCAAATACTCATGCGATTATCTTGTTAATTTTCGCATCATAAAAGTTTATACTACAATCAATCAAAAGAATAATTGAATAAATGATTTTTAAACATTACAGTTCGGTCAAAAGATTATATATTGTAGAATAAGTATTACGTCATAAAATCGGGTCACGTCTACACATGGCAAGAATGTCATTTTCAAAATCTGACAATAAAACATTAATATAAACGCTTATACGTTATTCTAGCTAGATTATGTGTGCAATAATAGATACTTTTCTTACCGTAAGGTATATGCAGCAACAATCAATATAGTATAGTTCAAATAAAAGAGAATTCACCCAACCGGCGACAATGACGAATTATGGAAACAACCTTTTCTAAAAATAACTTATAGGATTGACATACGGGACAGAATGAATGTGTTATTGTATATTAGTTGTGTGTTATTGTATATTATTTGTGTGTTTACTTGTTTGCTTGTTGTGTTTATGTGATGTTTATTATGATTGTTATAATAATATTATTGTTATTATTATAATTCTTTTTTGTGGTTTATTTCTATTTTTAGTTCTATTGATTCATCATGTTCATCATGTTCATGTTATTGTAATGTTTTTTGGTTTTTGCTTAATTTAATTTTACAAAAAGAGGTTTTAAAGGCATGGTAAGTGTATGAACACATTTTTATAACAATGTTTTGTTTATGGTTACACAATCGCGCCTGTACTTAGGCGTTCTAAGTATAATCTACCAACATTTAGGTAAACACAATCACAAGATTCCAACCACTGGAAGCGATCCACAAACAACAAGGGCAATCGCATAAACAATTTGAAGATTCCCGTAAAATTGTCGAAATGTCTTGGATTAAACGACTGCAGACAACATATCTCCTGGGTCTAAATGACAATATAATGGGACAAGGGAACATATCTAAAACTTCTTCTATTGATATCATGAATATTGTTGATAGAACATGTAGAAGACAACGTAATATAATAGGTCTCATGACAAACGTATCAATCGAAATCAACGAACTAAAATTCGTACAAATTATCCACCTGATGATCTTCTATCTAAATTTAAAACCAATGGTAGACATCAATCATTATGTAAACTGTGTAAAATATCAATTAGTAACAATTAGTTTCGGCAATAAAGTTTATCGACAGGTTGTAGGTATTCCTATGGGCACCAATTGCGCCCCTTTAATAGCAGACTTGTTCTTGTACTGTTATGAATCACAGTTTATGACCAAACTCAATAAAGACCTGTCTAAATTGCATTTAATTGATGCACTCAACAACACTTACCCTTATCTTGATGATATTTTCAAGGAGTGTGAGCTCAATATAGTTCAAGACCGAGTAGTTAAAAACATTTTGAAAAAAGGACCAAAATATCGTCCGCCATCTAAAATAGATTGGAAACAGTGTCGTCAGGTCACAAAAGACGCTCTTTCATCGTATTGTAAAAATTGATGTAAATGGGGAAAATCTGGTAAAAAATCTCTTCATTTTTGTTTTTATAAATGTATGAATGTTGTAGATATTCGAATATCACATTTTGAAAATAATTCAGAAATAAATAAAAGAGTACATAATACGCCTATTTCTAGAGAATAAGAAACAAGCTTCAAGTACTTTAGAAGCGGTTTGTGTTTGTACAGGCCGACAAAGCAGCCAACAATGGGGTGGTGGTATGCCATAAACACTACACGGACGTTCTTAAGAATGAAATTTTGAATTATTCTACATCGTGCGCTCCACAGAGAGTCATAATATAGTAAACAATCATATCAAAACCACATCACAGCTTAAGTCCTCTTCTGAACATTTGAAGGTCCCTACTATGTATTAGTTATATAAACTACACAAAAATCCAGTAAAATATCGTTTCATCTTGGCCTCTAGTAAGTGTTCTACAACTAATCTTTCAGTGCTTTTAACTAATTCCTTAACTACTATCAAAGAACTTATCATCAACTTTTGTAATAAAATATATGAAAATATTGGAATTAACTATTTTTTAGTGGAAAAAATTCTTTGGATGTTTTATATAAATTACGTGCTTTTGATGGTTCTTTTGATTCTGTTGACAGTTTTGACTTATCAACTCTTTACACTACACTTCCACACAATCTTATCAAACAAAAGTTTTCCTATTTAGTTAAATGGTCGTTTGGTAAATCTGAATGCAAATATATTTGCTGCAACTCATTTAAAGCCTTCTTCACTATTGAGATAGGTAATATGCTAGATATACTTACTAGAGGTGTGATGAGATGGTTGAAGCTGTTAATTTTCTCCTGGATAATATTTATGTACGTTTCGGCAATAAAGTTTATCGACAGGTTGTAGGTATTCCTATGGGCACCAATTGCCCCCCTTTAATAGCAGACTTGTTCTTGTACTGTTATGAATCACAGTTTATGACCAAACTCAGTAAAGACCTGTCTAAATTGCATTAAATTCATACACTCAACAACACTTACCCTTATCTTGATGATATTTTTTCGTTAAATAATCAAGAAATCTCTAAAAATAGTGCCGAAATTTACTCAAAGGTAGTTACTTTTAATAAATCAAATATAAACAGTAATAAATTTCCTAGATTAAGATATTTCAGTTTTACACGGGAAAATCAACACTAAAATTTACGACAAAAGGGACAATTTTTCGTTCCTTATTGCTAATTTTACTTTTTGGACGGTGATGTTCCTTTGGCACCATCTTACGATGTTTATATATCATAATTCGTTAGCTATGCCCGTGTATGTTGTGACGTTTTGGATTTCAATGAACGTAATCTATGTATTACTGGAAATTATTAAGTCGGAGATTTCGTTACCACAAATTACTTAAAACCTTTACTTATTTCTATTTGTATCCATCTGATGAGTTAAGATTTTTTAAACTGATTTTTATAGTTTATTCTTATGTTACACCACTATGCGGTATGGGCTTTACTCGTTTTGAAGACCGTACGGTGACCTATAGTTCTTAATTTCTCTGTCATTTGGTCTCTTGTGGAGAGTTTTCAACATCTTCTTATTTTCATATTTCTAAGACATTTCATATCGTCTTTACACCAAATCCGTAAAAACCATACTAGGTGTGTATACATTGATTTTGAGAAAAAAATTGATTGTAACCATAAATCACTCGAAATTGGCTTTCATTTAGCTTTCAGTAGCTGCGAATATTATTCATATCCCACTCAACAACGTTGCATTAGTATTATAATGTTTTGACCCGTCCGACAGTCCATCAGTCATATGCTCTTTTCATCGCAACTCCTCTGAAACCACACAATAGAATGTCACGATACTTTGTAGATAACAAAGACATATCGGCATGAAATTATGATTAATTGTTTTTCCTAGGAGTTATGCCCTTTGAACTTAAAATTTTGGGCTACATATAATACTGCAAAAGTTTGTCATCATAACAACAGAATTTCATAAAACTTTATAGATGATTATGACATACTATGTAGATCTGCATATCGACAGTAAGTAATGATTCAATTTTTTTTCTAGGTATGATGCCCTTTTTTAACTTAGAGTTTTGACCTGAATATACAACTGCAACAGTTTGTCATCGCAACTTCTCTGAAACCATACCACAGAATTTCATGAAACTTTATAATCAATGCAATGAGGACATTATATGTAGATATCCGCATGAAACTTTTATCACTAGACTTTTGTAGAGTTATGAGTCTTTGAAATTAGGAATCTGTTGAGATTTTGTTTGCCCAGTAACATTGTGAGGGCGGGGGGTATGTGAGAGTGCTCGCAAAGGTTCTTTAATTTTAACTGCTTTTTTACAGTTTGTTCGTTTGTTTTTTCTGTATCACCACTAACCCAGGTTAAGGCATTATTTAAGCACTCACAAACATGTTTGACGCCGTCACATTTTTTTTGTCTGTCCCAAGTCAGCATCAGTATCTAATAATTCAATTTCTTTAGAATAAAGAATGTCAACGGGGAATGTGTCAAATATACAACACTCAATACAACCGACCAATTGCAAAGAGCAGAAAACAACACAAGACCACCAATGGGTCTTCAATGCAGTGTGAAAATTCCGCTCTGGAGGTAGGTTACAGCTGGGTCCTAAACAATATGTGTACTAGTTCAGCGAAATGGAAATCTCAATACATATACAACGGCTAGAGGTTCATGACTTGGGACAGGAGATAAATATGCGGGGGGGGTTTAACATCTTTTGTGAGATCTCAATCATCCCCTATACTTCTAGCCAATGTGGAATAAACAAACACACAGCAATACGCACAATTAACCTCAGTAAATAGAAGTCCGTGTTCAATGTTAGAATAGGTATCAGAAGAAACTACGCAAAATGACAATGATCAACATAAATTGATCAAAGACTACTAGCAGTTACTGACATGCCAGCTCCAGACCTGTAGTTTGATTTTGTCTGCCATATTTGTTTTTCATTAATTGTTTAAGCATAAATTAACGCAAGAGTAGTTTACCAATGTTCAAATCGATTCAATCGATTAAGAAGACAATTCAAGATAACAAACAAAATTGAGATAAACTCGTGAACTCTTGGAGCGAGACCAAATGCGTCGACATGTTAACCGTATCCAGCTATTCATGCATCACCCACCATGCGAATCCATATTCATGGGTAGCATAAGTTGGTTTTCTCATTGCATGGTTTCACGTTTTGTCATACAGATGTGGGCACATTTTTTTATCATCCGACTCTTTTTCGTGTACTCCTGGAGATTCGATTCATATAGCCTCAATCTTCCAAAAGGCTTCTAAGTTGTGATTCTGGGTTTTATTTGAAATATCTACATTTAAAATACTCGACGCTGTTGACAACTTTGATTTTTCTGATTTTAAAGGTCCAGAAAGCAAGTACTCGAGTTTGGATTCGACTGAGGTAGGTCCGTTTCCGCGTACAACTTTATCTTCAACTATTTTCAAAGGTAATTCGTGACGAAGCCGGCCCGGTGGTCTCCTCAACATCAAGGGCCTTTGATCACAGGCACTTGTATCTGAAAAATATTACCTATATACCTTAATATAATAGATTTCACCCAAATCGCATTTTTTTTAAATGACACTATCCTACTTTATAATTGATATGGTTATAATTACATAGCTCTTAATTACTGTTAAGAAAACTTTGAATTTTTCGAAATACTAAGGATTTCCAACACCAGGAAAAGACTACCTAAGCTGTATTTGCAAAACCTTGATAATTCTGGAGCCTTCAATGGTCTTCAACTTCGTACTTTATTTTTCATTTTTAACTTTGTTTTATTTCTAGAGACATTTTTTAGCAAGCCCCGCGTCTTACGTACAACATTTGTAATCCTGGTAACTATGATGAGCTTACTGTTTGGTTATAAATCTACAAAATGATGTATAACACGCATATTTTTGTCATCGAAATCATTCGTATCGTGCCTTCCAAGTAAGTCAATCGTAAATTATTTTGTCTTCTCATAAAGGTATGTAATAATGAAACAATGTAGATGAATGCTGCAGTACCATAGAATATTCTAAATTATGCTTTGACGGATTGCAAAAACTATTGTACTCATCAGCGTTCTATATACTTTTGTGGTCTTTTGAATTTGGATTTATAAATTACGACGATCAAATAGAAAGCAAAACAGAAACGCAGGTTGCTGTCCTTCTGTAACACTTTTTTTGTCATTGCAAAATAGTAAATATCAAAACGTTTGCATCAATTAGGTAGCATACCCCAACCAATCTGTGTGATCAAGTATGCCGATAGTTTTCTCGTTCGAGTTGATTTACATTTGTCATTTCGGGGCCTTTTTATAGCTGACTATGCGGTATGGGTTTTACTCATTGTTGAAGGCCGTACGGTGGTCTATAGTTGTTAATTTCTATTTCATTTTGTCTCTTGTGGCGAGTTGTCTCATTGGCAATCATATCACATCTTCTTATTTTTATATGCACATACAACGATTTTTAGTTAACTAAAGTATAATATAACAAAGAAGTGCGAGTGCTAAAATTGGTTGTTTCCTGACCAATACGAACCTCAAGTACTTATCGTTGACCTTTTAAACTCTCACCGCATAGTACCAACAGATCCAACTTTAAAACAGGTAAATTTATCTGAACTATTAATACATATAGGCAGTTTTATTTCATGATTTTTTTTTATAGTTTTGGAAAATTTATAATGTATTTATAAAAGTCATTAATAATGTTTCATTCAACTTGTTTTGTCTTGATTGAAATGTGATCGACAGGTTTATTTGTGAACTTTAACTATTAAAACACTTATTATTACATAGCTATGTGAAGTGTTATGAAATCACCTTGTACGCTTTTTTTTTCCCCTTTCTTCCTCTCGTTATATGTTGATTTGAAAAAAAAATAAATGTTTGTTTTCGTGCACATGTGTAGCATTCAATTTCAACAGTGGTAAATACAAAATTTGTGGACTAAATATGTACTTTTTTGTATTACAGTTAATAAATGGTAGATGCAATATTTGTATCATCCAACTTTTGTTGTTCTTAATGTCGATGTTTTGACGTCACATCGTTGTAGGAGAAATTATTTGCGACGTCACAATAGAGCACAACAAATTAATGTAACTTCTTGTAAAACAACCAAATCTAAACAATCATGCATGCCGGATAATATCTAAGGGAGGAAACAAAAAAATTACCAGATAAAGTATTATAAACAGATTATCGGGTTATCTGAATATTAATATAGTTAAATATCAGTAGCTTAAAATTGTGTGATGCTGCACTGCGCTCCCTTGAAAACAAGTTTCACTTTGTCACTCGTGGTTCATACTTTACGGTATCAATTTACATAAAACCCGATATTCTGTGTATTTTTAGTACCACACCCCACACTCGAAAATGAATATTAAAAATATAAAATGAAACAAAATAAATTATCTAATTAACTATGATGAAAATCACTACTCTGAATAGTATTCAATGTGAGACAACATATACATTACATGATTTTTTTTATATTGTTTTCGGTTTTGAGCGTTTTGAGCGTTCACCTCCTAGTGAAGGTAAATCCAGAAAAGCGTTTCGGAGGTTATGCAATTTGAAATGTGTTGTTTTAATTTTTCACAAAGAAGACATATTAATTGTAATGTTGGTTTAGTGGTAGAATTCCTAAATGAAACTTATTGTGCCTTTTTATTTTATATATCTGACCATCGTACACAGCCATTTCTAAAGTTCCACTGGCTAGCATTTGTTATGAAAAAGCTTATATTGCGCGCTCAGCCTATCTTTCACTAACTACAATCATTCATGTAATGCCACTTAATTTCATTTTCTAGATTTTAATAAAACATGTTAGTTGTCCGTCAATGTGACAGCAACCCAATTTCTTAAAAAACCGAGTCTACATTAACATTATTCATGGGTCAATACAATATTTAAGCACTACATCGCCTTCGTGTTACTTCCAGAGATCAACTCCGACCGATTAATTGATTGTAAATTGGTTAACGTCCAGTGGCAAATATTTCATGTTCATGTTCAGGACGAGAACACATTAACAATACATACAATAGGTAGGTCCTGTGATAGAGGGCGTAAGGGATTAAGGTCGGGAAATTTGGACTGCCACTGGAAAATAAGGGTATATTGGAAAGAAACAGATATTTTGCATTGCAATAGGTCACCTATAGACCCCTCAAAGAGTTGTTGCAAGATTTCCTACCGTATGAAAAGATTGTGGCACTCTCTTCACACGAGGCATCAAATTTAACGTCCCCATTCTGACCTGACATGGCAGCGTACTTGTACATCCCACAAAGCCAAACGGACGCTCCTCTTTTTACTTATAGTCGGAAGAACACCAAGGATGACCATATTTCTACTCCCCAGTTACCTTTGGATGGGATCAACTCCGAATCTTTAAAGGGAACAATAATACGTAAATTGCAGTATATAAAATAATTAACCAGGTTCTCGACTTTTGATAGCCACATTACATGTATGCGGGTTAAACTATTTCTAGTCTATGAATGGATTAACAAAAATTATATTGAAGATACGTTCAATTACAATCTCGTTGTATAACATAATGACAAACAAAAATACAAGTAAAACTACACTAAATAATATCGGTACATTTAAAAAAAAAACTACAAATAGATATAAAGCAAGCTTCAAATACTTAATTTGTTTTATACAAAAAACCAGGAACAGTGTAGGAATATGTGATCTTTTGTAATTTCTCAACGTTAATCTGTGTACAACATTCCACACATTTGTTTCATCTAATGTTTTAAAGTTTTCCATTTTGAATTTGTTTTTAGATTTTTTTGTTTTGTAGAATTCTGTATTCTCTCTAAGACAAAGGTACCCAGAAAGATTAATTCAGTGATTTCTTGATTTTGTTAGACCGATATTTTAGAGTTACGAAAAACTTATTGCAAGTGAAAACGGGTTTGTAAATTGAAAATCCATAACCGTTTATATGCTGTTATGTGAACAATATATGTAAAACACCCTTTAAATATAAAAAAAGATATTTGTAATAATAAGTACATCTGTGTTGCCATATATATCATCTGACATTAAAAGGGGCTTTATTGATACAGATGCACCTGTATAACTGTTATCACGAACTGTATTAAAAATAATCACCTGCTTTTATTGGTCTATTTAAATGCTTTGTACAGCAATACATGTATATAGTTTAATAGGAAGTAGATATAAAGTTAACACGTGATGAACTTATTAAATCTCTTCCTATTTCGTAATTGAGCGGAAAGTTCAATTTAAAAGTATTTTAAGTTGTTATTTTATGAAATAAGCTAATTTGCGTTGAAGCACATTCAGATGACGGTCGTGGTGCAAACATAGTCGACAACATGATCAGGTCAGCACATTTAACAGATTCACATTTTAATCAAATGCTGTACAATACAAACAAGTAACTTAAAATCATGAAAATATATTTAAAACTGACAAAATTATACAATAATATAAAATGAAATACGACAGAATAAGACATAAAACAATAATAAAAAGAAAAAACCTTGATGTGTACGAACGACTTTGTATTATCTAGGACTTGTTGATTAATGGTAATGCATATTCGTACATTGTATACTTTGTAAAACTTTTAGTATTATTTGCCCTCAACAATATTCGTATCAATTCAATATTTCAAGGTTGTTTACTTTTATGGTCATCGATCATTTATAAATTTGGTGTTCAGAATAAATTCCACATTAGATTGAATTTTTTTTACTAAACGGTGCAATATTCAAGATTATTTATACATTTTCTGTTTAAGACTAATTCCACATAATATTGATTTTTTTAAAACGGTGCAATGTTCAAGGGTTTTTCAGTTGTACACAAATACTAGTAGGTGAACATCGGTAGGAATTCACAATTCTTGTTGCCCTTTCCTCAAATTAGTGTTCACCTTTTATTTCATATATGACTAACGAGTTCTGGGAAGGTCATCTTTAGTTCCATATATCCTAAGTTTTGATAAATATATACATTTATAAAGTTTCATTTCCATATTCCTGAGGTAGTACCAATATCAGCAGTATGCACACGAAATGATTGATTGTTGCTGGATAAGCGTCCAGTGATAAACATGCATTGTCATGAAGAAATAAAAAAATTGATAATTAACACAATAGGTAAAGGCTCCGCAAGGTATGTCCCCTGGAATGAAGGACGGGTAATATAAACTGCCACGAAAAATTGAGGTTATATTCCTTTCAACAGGCCACCTACATGAAATAAAGCTTCGTATCTGTGTTTTGCAGCATAGTTCGTGTTAGTGTAATAGTTCTTTGTCTTGGATTATCTGTTGCTGAATTATGTTTGCCAGACGACAATGTGTATTACCATACACAGTTAGAGACGTGCGAGAAATGTGACAGTTGTCTGCGAGGAGCAGGAAAGGACAGAGTTGATGTAAGTTACTTTATGATGATTGTTGATAACTTAAATAATTATTCTTGAAGTAATTATGTTTTAACATCTATGAACTTTTGATCAAATAGTTTAAAATTAGATTACGGAAGAAACCTTTATTCATGTATTGTTAATAGTTTCCCAATGCTACTCATAATTTGTCCTTTGTTCAGTTCTACATATTTTTCATTTCTGTTGTACGCTTCGTTTTCTGTAAATTGCTGTCTTTCAAAAAAGTATTATACCTAATGTTCTTAGCATTCCTTCCCGAAGCAATATTTTGAATTTTCAAAACAAATATTTTGAGAATGAACTCTTTGTGAGTATCAAAATTATATAGACCGGAACGGTACAGGCAAATCTTTTTAAGGCAACTTTGACAAGAACGGGGGGAGGGTGCAGCATCTTTAGTTTTCATACAATTACCCTGTTCCTAAATTGAAAGTTTAGCAAAGGTGAATTATTTGGATAAAACCAATAACGATGAACTGTGTACTGGGCATATGTTACCGTAAGCACCTCTACTAAAAAATTTGAGAAAATATATAATTTGAGACACTTTGAAATTACAGTTGATATTATATTCCAAAGGAATACACTAACTCTTAGAATTAAAACAAAATAAAAAAATCTGATATAAACAAACAACACGACTTTTTTTTTAACCTAAGAATGATTTGCAGATATATTGTACGTGCCAAATGGTCAATTGATAACCTTTACAGTTTTGAAATTTCACATCTTTGCAGAAATATTTCTTTCACTTTAAGGTCAACAAAAAAGTTAGATGGGATGAAAATTATGGAGCATTAACTTGTACACCTTGTATTCCATGTTCGAATGGACACTACAATAATCGAAGAGCCTTCCGTTGCCAACCATGCAAGAACTGCTCACAAGAGAATCGGTACGAGTTGTTGTCATGCACAAGAAGACAAAATGCTGTTTGTGGAGACTTCATTCAGTGAGTATGGCATTTTTTTCTTAATATGTAAAGTAAACAACGCTCATACGATGAAGGTAAATCCAGAAAAGCGCTTCGGACGCATGAATTTACTAAACGTGTTGTTTTCAATTTTTTACATCACTGGGTCGATACCTCTGCTGGTGGACTATCAGTCTCCGAGGGTATCATCAGCTCAGTAGTCAGTACTTCATGATTTATAACAAACTTTTCTAAAATTGTCCGTTTATAAATTTTGAAATTATAAAGAAACTAAGGTTTCAACTCCCTCAGGCAAAGTTGACCTTAGATGAATTTGGCTATTTGTTTTAAGTATTTTTGTCATATAGCTCTTCAACTGTTTCGGTACTTAAACATCCCACGGATTTCAAATGTTTGGCATTGAGCGTTCCTGATGAAGGTAAATCCAGAAAAGCGCTTCGGACGCATGAAATTATTAAACGTGTTGTTTTCAATTTTTTGTGCAAATTACAGAAGAAGATTATTTTTTTTACCCAAATTAGGGTCCCTGCATTATAATTTTAATCTTTGAAGAATAATAATATATGCAATCTAGACAATAGAAATTCAAACACACACACACACAGATCCAACATATCATAATAAAACTAATATTATGCTGACATTGACCCAAGTTCACAAGGCAAGTATATTTTGATAGAAGGCATACGAAGTTGGTGCCTTATGGAGACATTTCTACAGATAAGAAAAGTAACATATTTGATAATGAGATATACTGCAAATACAGAAACAAATCGAATAGATTATATGATGCTTTAAATGGATTATAAACAAGAAGGCCGTACGGTTGCCTATAATTGCTTCTAACTGTGGTGGATAGTTGTCTCATTGGCAATCATACCACATCTCCTTATTTTCATTTTAAGAGCAATACAAGTTAGAATTGTATGCCTTGATTTTTTCTAGTATTTAAAAGAAGTAATATGTTATTAAGTTAATGGACAAGTCTTTTTCGGCAAATATGATCGATATATTTAATGACATGATAATATTTCAGGAATTATACTTGTTTTCCATTGCTGAAATCCAGATCAATACTTATTCAAATATTTGTGTTACCTTTTTTATTTGATTTTTGTATCAATTTCTCCTCATAAATGATAAGAATCTAATTCGATATTAACTGAAGTAAACAGGAACGACTAATATGTGATCACTCCCACACCAGGAAGTGAAATGTTGTCTGGTCACTGACAGTTAAATAGTTATACACTACAGGAAGTTTTTCACTTTGAGTAGTATTTTTTTGTAGTTTGTTTTATGAATGGTGACAAAGCAGAATGGGATAGATTAAAGTATTACGGTCAAATTTCATTTTCCTTGTTGATTTCACAATAAAATAAATTTTCGAAAGAATTGTTTTCTCTGAAATCAATTCAATTCATCATTGCAGACAATTGGTTACTCGAAAAATTGGGACTTTTTTTTAGAAAATAGTTTTGGCTTTAGTGGATGTCTCGAAAACCTTGGAGAAAACATTTCAGGGACTGTTTTGGTTCATACCTATTTATGTATTTAGTTGTTCATAACAATAACTACTCGTATGTGTTTTTTTGGTTATTTGGTGGTGGGGGGGGGGGGGGGTCTTTTTTTTTCTGGCCATGATTGTGTCTATCAATATTTTCAATATGTATTGTCTTTTGGAAGTAGATATAAAATTACATACATATAGTGCTACACTTCTGCCAAACTCGATATCTAACTGCTATATCTATCGTTATAAAAATTAATGTGACAAAAACAATTTGCCAAAGTTTTATATTAAGTCTGAACATTTATTAACTTTGCAAATCTTTTAAGATGATAAATTGGTCGGTTTATACATAAAGTGTTTCTTAAAAAAAGAATGTTGTTAATTTGTGTTATCATATTTGGTCTGATACACTTCCGATTTTACTCTTACTGTGAAAATCAAATATGATTTACTAGTAATTAGTCAAATTTGCGTTTGTTATTTACCATTCTTTGTGAACATTATACTGATAACAATACAAAATAACCAGACGTACTATACACTTTAATGTTACATCAGATAATTATTTTATATGAATATGACTATTGGATGAATACGAATTGCAGTCAGTTAAAATGCAATTGAATAATAAAAGTTACAAAAAGAAAAAACAAACAAGACTTTTAAATTAACAGAAAATACAGATATATTGGAGTAAGGAAAAATGACAATGAAAGGTCCATAATTTATTAACCTATAAAAACTGAAGGTTTTATTAGTTGCTTGTTGCATGAAGCTGTCAAACTGAAACGAATTCATCATGTGTTTTAAATATGTTTGACAGAACGAAAGTACACATGTTTGACAGAACGGAAGTACCGGTAACATACAGCACAAGAGAGTCCATCCCTTCAGGTACAAATTGATTCAGATACTTTATTTCTTGTCAGATCTAATAAAATAACTGCATTTATAATTAATTTTGGTGTGTATATGGTTTAACTTTTGAAAAAAAAATTAGAAGATAATGATAAAGAAATCTCCCTTGGTATCTTATGAAATTTACATGCAGTATGAATCTTGATTTCAAAAACATGTAACATTTTACATTTTTTTCATCTTATGTATAAGGGATTTGAGAAAAGAATATCTGATAATATGCTGAGCAAATTTTAGTCAGTGATTAATTCTTTGAAGTTTGAAGATCAGTTGTAGGAATTATGGTGCACATTTGGTGCCTTTTGTAAGAAGCTATTCTGTCATCCAACAATTATGATCTAATGAGCATTGGTTTATTCGTGTAATGGCTATTATTTACGAAACCGATATGTAAATGAAATATTTGCTGATAAATGTAAAAAAATTTTTTATCATGAATACAGACAAATCCGAAATGGAGATGTAATGCAATATGGTTAATCGGCAGTGCAAATGCAACAACCAATAATAAGCTAATTCATTTTTATGCAAGAACACAGAGACTCCTTGTGCATATCAATTGATAATGACAATAAAAAGTTCTACCGAGTCGTGAAAAATTGATTTTACCTACTAATTCTTATAATTTCTTTCAGAGTCTTCGTATTTGTTGACATGGGTGATCAGTGCTGTTGGCTCTGTTCTGGTATTTGTAGCAATCATTGTATGCTTGCTACTGCTGAAAAAAAAGTTAAAACAGTCTGAGAGTAAGTGCTCTAAAAAATTATCCTGATTAGATTTATCTGGTAAATGAGGATGTTTTATATATTCATATATGGTATCTATGATGAGTTTCTTTATATCTATAATCATCATTTGGCAAATCAAAAATGGTGTATTTTCAATCCTTTCCAAATCATATTGATTGTATTGGCAAATAGATATAAGGATATATTCTAGTCCTTCTATTTAATAACATGTCATTTCAAATGTCGCTATAATATCATAATTGACAAATGAACATTTTACAGTTATTCGTTTAATAAAAAATAATGTGATACTGTAAAATCATAAATCATTGCGTGCATTTCTTATTGTGGTTTTTGAAGAAAGGATAAAAATGCAAGATTTCTTATTGCGATTTAAGGAAAATCTTCCAACAGATATTATATCAGATATCAGAATGTGAGTTCTTATTATTGCGATTATCACCCAGTTGCATTATTCGCAATAATAAAAACTTGCAATAATATCTGAGTTTTTATTAAGTAAAAGCTTTACGGAAAAATATAGTTAACACAAATTAAGATCTTTGTATAAGACATTTTGTTTAGACAATTAATATGTTGGGCTTTCTTAGATATTGGACGGCATGAGGTTCTATTTCTTATTTTGATATAAAAAATATGTTCCAGAAATTGTCAGTAATTATGTTATATATTTTTCCTTTTTTTCAGAAAAATTCACAATGAATAACCTTTCAGAATCTGCACAGAAGTAAGTTATTGTCAAATGACGTTTACAGTGCAAATGTACCGAAAGCTAGACAAAAATGTCCGCATTTATATTTAGTTATTTTTATCTAATTTGGTTAAATAGGAAAGAAAAGAAAATAAAAATACATAAAATGTCATTTGTATGAGTATTTATTATGATAACTGTTAAACCCAAAATCCAGGGTAGAATAAAAACAGAAGCGATTTTTAGGTAATTCATTCGACACTATAAATACTAAATATAGTGTACAGTACTTATATACAAAAATTTAAAAAAAAACAAAGAACAAAACACGGAAAAGCGAAAAACCTTACTATATGATTGCCATGCGTACATCACAATTTTATTTTAATGTAAAAAAAACTAGCAAACATAAATTTAATTTAATTTCTATTCATATTCGTCTCGTAATAATTGTTTTTTGAAAAGACTCAGTGTTTTTCTCTAAATATTCTACCTTATGGTATAGGGTACCTTTGGTTGTCGTTGATAATAAATCAAATTCAAGTGGTCAGAAATGGTCTAAAAGGAATGGTAACTTCAGTTCAAACCAAGAAAGAACAAATACTTTCTCTCCTGTTGCTGACAAAAGCAGAAACAGTTTTTGTAACTGCGAAACGACACCGAAAGTAATTGTTGCCAGTGGTGACGATACAAGAGAACACCAAGATCGAGAAACCACTGTCCATCTTAATCAAGGAGAACAAATTTATCACCAGGAACACGCAGACACAAAAGGAAAGATAAACAACCTTATTTGCTGTGCTGCTACATTGGATCCGTCCATTGAGGATGTTAGCAAAAGCTCCTACATCTGTGACAGTTTGGATTCATCACCAGAAACATTTTTGAAAGAAAGAACTTCATGTAATAAAAATACAGCTCGGTCAAAAATTGAACCATGTGTATTTAAAAGATCTGACTGTAGACCTTTGAGTAATTTTTCTGATTTAAGAAACGGTAATGTGAACTTTCCTTATATTTCCAAATGTGAAAGTAATTCTACTACAGTTTAAAAAGGGTGCAATTGATATTTGTTTTTTACAAACCAGGATATTTTATCTATCAGTCTAATACTAGTATATAACTTTAAAAAAATTATGTATTCATTTTAACATATTCTCAGACATTTCATGATAAAAAGTAAAATCACAAAAATACTGAACTCCGAGGAAAATTCAATCGGAAAGTCCCTAATCACATGGCAAAATCAAATGACAAAACACATCAAACGAATGGACAACAACTGTCATATTCCTGACTTGGTACAGGCATTTTCAAATGTAGAAAATGGTGGATTGAACCTGGTTTTATAGCGCTAAACCTCTCACTTGTACGACAGTCTTATCAAATTTCGTTATATTTACAACGATGCGTGAACAAAACAGACATTATTTTAATATTATTAATATTCTTTTGTTGAATGCATGCATTTCTTGTGATGTGAATTTATAAATAAACAAACCTACAAAACTAAACGAGACTTTGGTTAACAAAGAATTTATGTATTAACACCATCTTTATATTTATTTTATATTTAAGAAAGATTATTGCTAAAGATATTTTTACTTTATTTTCAAATTTTACAAAAGTGGGATTCTAGTTGCTCTATCTTTAGTTTTCAATATTTTTTTGTAATATTCTACAGGCCATGTTTGCTTGTATTTTCTTTCTTTAATAATTGACAATGGTATTGTCTGTTTTTCGTGAAATTATGATTTTCCGATTTACCTTTTTCCTACCTCTCTGTCTCCTTGTAACAGTTTTAAATTACAAGTTTATCAAACTTTCGAACGGTTTCAGATAAAAGTCGTATCAATTAAGAGGTCGTAAGAAATGAGAACATTAATGAATTTGGTGCGTTCGAAGAAGCTTTCCTGGTTTACCTCAATCAGGAACGCTCAAACCAAACAATTTGAAAGCCAGTGTATATATAAACACATGAATACATGAGGGGCTATATAAACAAAAGGAACTTACAATTAATAGCCAATTACACCTAAGGTTAACTCTGTCTGAGGGAGTTGGAACCTTATGGTTTCTAAATAATTTGTAAATTTATCAACAGAGAATTTAGGATAAATAAAAAATGTGGAAAGACGTGCTCCTACATATCAATATTACAAAGATACAAAAATTTAACAATACTTTTAGATATTTGGATGATATATTGGCTCTCAATAATGACGACTTCAGTATGTATACTAAAGAAATTTATCCTGTTGAACTTACTTTAAATAAAGCTAATACTAACAATGACCACTGTCCTTTCCTCGATCTTGATATCTATTTCATTAACGGGAAGCTTAATACAAAATTTATGATAAAACAGATGATTTTTCATTATCTATCGTTAATTATCCATTTTTAGATGGTGACGTTCCCTTGTCACCATCTTATGGTGTTTATATATCTCAACTTGTACGATTCGCTCGTGTATGTAACAACGTATTAGATTTTGGCGAGAGAAATTTATTTATTACTGAAAAATTATTACACCAGGGTTATCGATATCATAAACTAGTCAAAACATTTACTAAATTTTATCATCGGTATAAGGACATCATTCGTAAATATAACTCAACATGCAGACATCTTATACGTTCAGGTATTTCACATCCAATCTTTTATGGTAATATTCTTTACAAAGCACAAAAATGTCAGTATTCACCTCAAAAGCTAACAAAACCTTTAAACAGACTTATTAAGAAGGGATATAGTTACGATACTGTTGTCAGGTCATTAAAGATTGCATATTTTGGCTTTAATATTGATTCACTTATAGGGTCTTTGCATCGGAATTAACAGATTTATTCTAAAACCAGTTGTTGGCATGACACGGGTTATGTTCTTCTCATATATTTTATGATGGTATAATACTTAACTCCTTACATGAGGGATTGTGCCTGATATTCATATGATGAAGACATAATCTTTCAATCAGTTTAATTGAGGTCTGGAGCTGGCATGTCAGTTACTGCTAGTAGTCTGTTGTTATTTATGTATTATTGTCATTTTGTTTATTTTCTTTTGTTTCCTATTCTGACATCGGACTCGGACTTCTCTTAAACTGAGTTTTACTGTTCGTACTGTTGTACGTTTGTTTTTTCTACATTGGCTAGAGGTATAGGGGGAGGGTTAAGATCTCAAAAAACATGTTTAACCCCGCCGCATTTTTGCGCCTGTCCCAAGTCAGGAGCCTCTGGCCCTTTTTAGCCTTGTATCATTTTAAATTTTAGTTTCTTGTGTATAATTTGGAGTTTAGTATGACGTCCATTATCACTGAACTAGTATACATATTTGTTTAGGGGCCAGCTGCAGGACGCCTCCGGGTGCGGGAGTTTCTCGCTGCATTGAAGACCCATTGGTGGCCTTCGGCTGTTGTCTGCTCGATGGTCGGGTTGTTGTCTCTTTGACACATTACCTATTTCCATTCTCAATTTTACTGTTCGCAATGCAATGGAAGTTTTAACTTGAAATATAAAAAACAATACCAACGACAAACATAGCAACAACAAAGAAAACAACAAAGTCAAACGAGACGATTCTAAAAATAAAAACTAGTTTAACCAAGACGATTGTTCATGTGCCTATCAAAAACTAGGCACTTCTTCAATGGTAATATATCCTTCATCGATCTGCTGTTGGTGGCAGAGGTTTGACAATCTGATAAATGTATTGATAACTTTTCTAAAATACGAGCAATTTAGACTTACGTAAACCTCTACACGTAGTCTGACATTCTTTGTGTTGGTTATTCTTTTTTGTCACGTTGACATAAACATCCTTTTATTGATATGAAATGCTTTTGACATCAAATAGTCCATAAACACACGTCCTTTTAGCGGCAATCAATAACCAGAATTTAAAGAAAGACAAACAATAACATGGTCAAAATAGAATTGAGAAACTACAAACAACTGTCCACTAAGTACTATACAGAAAGCTAAAGAACCGGCCAAAAACAGGGGGAGAAGGGGGAAGGGGGGGGGGGGCTACAAAAGGGTCACGAGTTCTCTAATGCTACGTCTTATGCATCACAAATAAATTCGTAGATAAACAAAAACATATTGTAAGTCAATACAAAATATGAGCTGCGTCGGATAGAAATCGACCGTATGCAAGTGCATGTATACATGTGCATGTATAAAACTTTTATTGATTTTTGAACATTCAAATTCGAGGTAAAAGATGAATTTACGTCTGTTTTTTATGGTTCTTATATCAACTCAATTTTCAAACAGTTACAAACTTTGAATAGAGATTTTTTCAACCCGAAATAATTTAACAGATGAATTTATATTCATTTGCATTAGGTCGATTTCTATCCGACGCAGACCTAAATTCATCATTTATTTCGTATTTTAATGTTCCAAAATCAATAAAAGTCTTATACATGTACATGTATACGTGCACTTGCATTAGGTCAATTTCTATCCGACTCAGCTAATATATAAATACTATAGAAGGACAACATATCGGAATACTCTTGCCTACATATCATTTAACTTCCTTATATTCAATTTTTAAAATAAACATAGAATATAATTGGTTCTAATCTGATATAAAAGTCTTCTCGGATTTCAACACTTAACAAGTACTTAATTTAAAGGAGACTTCATCATCGGATTGGTCACGTTTATATTGTGTACTTAAAGATTTAGTACAAACTTATCCATTGGTAAACGAAAATGGTCTTAATAAACGCTATATTTGAAATCAATAATTTATTTTGTCAGACTGAACCCCGGAAATTATAATATAATAATAAATAGTATTTGCGTGTATAGTATGAATATTAAGATCATAACAATATCTGCTTTCATTCATATAAACTATTGATCTGAAATATTAAAGATTGATTTTTTTCCATATTTAATTTTTCTTTGTCATAATTTTGCGATATATCTTTACATCATCACAAGTTTAAATAAATTGCGAGATATTGAAGTTCTATGTGTATATATATGTAGGACTCTAAAATGCGATGGACTCTAAGGTGCGATGGTCACGCTAAAGTGCGATGGTATACGCGAAAGTGCGATGGAGTCAAACGCTAAAGTGCGATGGTATGACACGCTAAAGTGCGACAGTATAGCACGCTAAAGTGCGATAGTGTAACGGGAATGGGGTTCAGGCAATGGTTTTCGTTTTGTTGCTGTGTTTCTATTATTGTAGTTTTTCGTTTATTATTATGTTTATTAATCAAGCCGTTGTCTTTCTCTTTTTGTTTGTTTTACACTGGTCATTGTGTGGCCCTGTATATATATATATATATAGATTGCTATGTGGAGTAGGCTAAGGCTCCACATTAAAGGCCGTAGTTATTAGTTGCATATATCGACGACATTTGGTCTTGGTAGAATATATGTCTAATTTGTTTATATAAAGAACGATACTTGTCAAAAAAGTGTAATGGTTACATTGCAGTTGCTAGTATATACTTTATGAACCTGTCTTAAGCCATATTCATAACATCTAATTACAAACATAGAAGGTGCTGCTAAATTAAAATTGGACGTATTTAATTCCTCAACATCCAAGTGAGCCAGCTCCGGAATCTTCTTTTCCTCTTAAGTTGAATTATATTTTGTAACCTTAACATGAATAGTAGAAATACTAAAATTATTTCAGTATAAATGATCAAATGGTCATGCGTATGATCGTCCTGTATATGCATGTGATATTTGCCACTGTACGTTCAACAAGCAAAAAAAAAGTTTGTTTTACTTTATCAATTAATTTTACCGAATTACTGGAAAATATGGTTTTCTAAGTGTTTTATACACATCGTCAATTTAAAGGTAATCCGCTTTTCATTTTTGTTGATTTCCACTGTTGTCGGGGAATAGATGACAACACAAAATAACGAGCAGAGGAAGCAATGAGATACATGTACAATAAAAACGATCTGTCATTATTGCCATGGATATTTAAAAATCAAAGTAAATCAAATATCTTTCTATGTAACTGTTATATGTTTTGGATAAATTATTGATTTTTTTTTTCGTTGAAGAAAATCATTACAAAATTAAATGATCTGACAAAAGATATCTGCAAGATTGTCAAAAAGGGCAGACAACTGACTTACAAAGATACATTTAAAGCTATCTTCAATGCATAAACAAATACATGACCTCTGGAGTGTATCAGTATTGTTAAACATTAATCTTACTTAAAATTATAATTTTATAGCTTTTGATTTTACTAGTAAAATATTAAAATTTTAAGTACAAAAGATATACCCTATATCTATTAGAATCGCTATACACACAGCCAAATTTACTTCAAAAAAGCAATGTAATTGTTGTTGGTTAAACTTTAATTTTGTTGGTTTTTCCTATCCATACTTAAACATGCATAAGGCTTGCAAATTCGTCTGTATATAATCTTATTACATGATATTATCAATTATTTTTGGATCATCTCGTCTTAGTCAACTCGCTGAACTCTAACTTGAATTTCTACGACAACACAACTGCAAGTATTAACGGTATCAATTTTACTGCACCAGATGCACATTTCTACAATAAACTTCTCTTCAGTGATGCTAGAAGATAGTTTGTTTAAAAAACAAAACTTAATACAAACGTTGGAGAGCTGATAAAACTTAAAAGGGCCAAACGAAAAGCCGAAATCGGACAAGAAGTTATAGCTTTGCATGAAGGAGATACATGCCTTAATTTAAAATGATTTTCAAATATTTATAGCAACAAATTTCTAAGAAAAAATAATATACGTATGTTCATGACACTACTGAACCAGATGCGCATCTCAACAATAAATGTCTCTTTAGTGATGCTCAAAGCCAAAATATTTGCAAAAAAAAAGGTAATACATACTTTGAAGAGCTGATAAAACCAAAATGAACCAAAATAAAAGTCGAAATTAAAATTTTGCATAATTTTTCTGTTGAACAGTCATTGTTTTGTTACTGCCTTTCAAATACACTTTTTAATTGTATATTTTTTATTATGAATACTTCACTTGGATGAAATGTAAGGTTGTACCGCCCTGAAGCAAAGCTAACTTAACTGTTTCTGTATTAGCTTCAGGCTTTCTTCTTTGTTTTTGATGAAAAAATCTCAAACTAGTTATGAACTCATTTGATTCCTTGAAGTATTTGGTCCTAAATATAGGATTATAGTATATCAATGTAAAATGAAATATCATAAATCTAGGCTTAATAAAAAAAACATTGGAGTAAAACAAAATGACAGTTATTTAATCAGAATCATCCGTTTCCAGAATGAAATCAGCATCATTATCATTGTTATATTATTCTCAGTGATTCAGAATAAAAAGTTTTTAATATGATCTTGATATATAAAAATAGTATAAAATCATAGAAATAAAACTCATCATAGATACCAGGATGAAAATTGTGTACGCGAGACGCACTTTTTGTCTACTATAGACTTAACTGTGTCGCTAGATAAACAACGTTAAAAACGCCAAATTAAGTACGAAGTTGAAAAGCTTTGAGGACCCGTAATTCTGAAGAATTCACCAAATACAGCCAATGTTATCTATTCCTGGGATTGAAAAACCTTAGTAAATAAAAAAAATCAAATTTTTGTAAACAGTTAATTTATAATTATGACCATATCAATGATAATTCATGTCAAACTGAGATGCTGACTACTGCGCTGATGATACCCTTGGGAGGAAACCTCAACCAAAAATGTAATTATGTAGCTCAATTTGAGCTTTTCATCATGTACGCGGTTCCCTTACCATATTGCTTACATAGTCACAGAACACATTAGAATGTTATGTAACCGTACTTCTTGAACTAACCCCGTAATTGTGACATCTACAGAAGGAGAAAAAGGCTTTTGACTCTCAGCCGTGTCTGAATGTATAATGTGACGATTTCTGTGTGACTTCTTAAACATTGCATTTATTTCTCAATCAGTAATGTTTCTGTGTTCAACACTACCTGAGTGTATTAGAATGGTAATACGAAGGAGACGAATATAGATACATTACAACTGTGGAAAACTAACTTTGGTTTTAGTCAATCTTAACATAAATGGAAAGTAACATTGAGACTACCGATATCTAGGCATGACGGAATATGAATGTTATTGAATTCATACACATAAATGTTTTTGTAAATGAAGGCCAAATTATTGGTCTTCTCAATTAATATATTCCGTAAAATTTAGTTTTTTTAATCTTGATTTGCATCTTCCTAATGGATTAATGAGATTTCAACATAGGTAAACTACTGTTTCCTTTTATATAATATGTAATGAACTATCATTTTTGTGCGTAAAATTAAAAAAAATCGAGAAGTTTATATAATATATAATAACTTAATTTGGGAAAAATATGTTTATTTAATAAAGTGTCAATATTTCTTAACACCAATACAATAAAACCAGGGTATTGCACTGTGGTGTAAGCGTTGAAAATACTGATAACAATACTGATACAGTTTTTAAAAAAATCTTCGTTTACCAATAGAGAAAGGACGACTGACTGACACTCCGGTTTTTCTGATTTCTGTTTATTCGGTTGTTTCGTATATACAAAAAGCATTTACGAAATTTGAACATCGATAAATCGCTGTTGCATCATATTTATAAAGCAAGTATTCCTACAAATCTACCTAAATGTTTAAGCTTGCAATTTTGATTTACTTTGCTCTAGTGTTAAAATGCAACATTATACTATTTACACTCTGACTGGTGATTTTGGTATACTACACATATGTGATATGATGGAATAAGCCGGAGTGAAGACTATACCAGAAACACGGATATTGTTTACTTATGTTTAATTGACAAGAAGAAATTTGGAATAATACTCCGGTGTTCTCCCCCCAACAAAACTAATTATGAACAAATAATTAAAGGAGATCCGGGACATAAATCAACGAAACAACAACCAAGATATTTAGCAACTTTTGAAAAATTGGTGTTAACTACAAAACAAACCCAAACATTTTTTTTTAGTTCTTTATATTTAATGGTCATTCAGTATTTGCACATAGGTGAACTGGGGATATTCCCACTATGTTACATAGTATATTGATTTTTATTTTATCTTGTTGTAAAACGTATAAATGTTATGTAATAGTTTACTCTTTATGACAACGTGTTTGTTTTCGGTTCATTAAGTGGGTCAAACAAGATAAGATAAATGTTTTGTAGTAACAGGGATTACTACGAATCAGAGATCACTGCATAAGGGGTTTTCGTATAGGTGTTTTTCTGGCTATATTTATCTTCAAAATAAAACCTAAATTAGATACAGGTACCGATTGGTGGTTTTTAAATTTCAACGTAAGTCTCTCTATTTATTATATTAGGAAGTATAAACATACGTGACGTTGTTTATTGGCTTTAATTTCATTCAAACACGTGACTGTTATGTTATTATCAATACGGAAATTCTGCTTAATATATCAAATGTTTTCCACAAATTTCTCATTCTTACCTTCACCCATTCACAAGAAGGTTGTGCGGTCTCACAGTTTGCAAAATGATCAGGTGAGTGGGTGAAAAAATTAATGTATATAAATATTTAACGGAGGTTTAATCAACAGCTTTTAAATAAAAATTGCCAAAGTATTATGTCTTCAAATAATCAGCTGTTATTGAATAAATGAACATTCGTTCAAAGACTTTAATAAGTAAAAAGTGTACTGCTCTTCAATTGAATACAAATACATCTGATACTTAATTTATAAAGTATGAAAATATTATTTTAACTAACATGTCTCAAGACATAAATATATGATGTTGTGAGCTGTGAAAAATCTTAATAGACTGTGGAACTTTCTTTTGATATGCATAAACAAACAAAAAAATGCGTGTTTTTAGTGATTTAAAAAAGTATTGTGAAAATTTATCTCTGTGAAGATTAAACCAAGACGATTTAGTATTTCGTTTCTTTTAGATTTTGTTTGTTTGTGTGATTCAAAGGACTAATTTATTTGGCTTCGAAATGTTTTAGTCGCTTATTGAATGTTATTCAAGGAATTATTTCGTACGTGGATAAGGTATATCCTGCTAGATATCCATCATACGTCATACGATTGCATTGTCACAGAAGGTTATTTTTAATGTCTCCAAGAGTACATTGTACTGTTTTTGATGCATTTCACTCTTTGCTAATTTGATATTTTTTTGCACAGAAATCGTCAAATATGCATTTTCATGGTCTGTGTTGGTTTGGCGTTTGCTGAAATATGTTCACCAGACGACAATATGTATTACAACCCCCAGTTAGGAATGTGTGCAAAATGTGACAGCTGTCTACGTGGAATGGGAAAGGATACTTTAAAAGTAAGTCAAATTTGTAATCGTCTTTCCATCTAAAGCCGTGGTTTCTTCTGAAAAAGGATAACTTTGTTAGCGTGGTTGAAACAACTACATGTATTATCTGATTCAAGAAAACATTAAGATCATTACAAGATCAAACAGTTTATCCGACTGTTAGTATATAGGAATGAAAAATATTAATGAGGGGTACAAATATGAGACAACATGCCAACGACACAAATAACCAAAAGACATCTATAGATCAACAAACAGTCTTCAAAAATAGACTGTTTTTATGCAATTTGTTAAATTTTCAATTTCCCGAGTTGTGCACAAATTCGGCAGAAAATTATAAAGATCAGCCATCAACTTCATTACCAAATAAAATCAATTTTAAGATTTGACGACAAAATACCACTACATACTGGTGTCTTGCTCGGAAAATTCACATGTCTGAGGCTAGTATGTGTGTATCTAAAACCTCGCCTTTTATTTCGATCAGAGGACTTCCAATAGGAACATGCAAGACAATACAATATAAGCATGTAAACCTCGTATAACGATATAATAGATAACAAAAACCTCAAGTTCAATCAAAACAGTAGTAAACCTTATCAAAGAGTGATCGCAGTTAGTGAAAGAAAAACTGAAGAACGTAACCTGCTGATATAAAAATCATTCCATCGTAATCTATAGATAATTCTAAAGTTCAGTTGCACTAAGAATATAATCCGTTTTGGTGAGTTCGCTAGGTAAAATCGCCAAGGAAGCTTCCTTTTATAACTCGCGTCTAATATTGTATGATATTAATATGAAGAAAACCTAGTGAATATAGAAATATACTATACTTGATTGATTGATTGATGTTTGACACCATTTCCTGCACTATTGCGCTATTTAGCGGCGGTAAGTTTTTATTGATTCATCAACCATTATTTATTAACCATCGGTTTTCGGCTGAAAAACTGACAATCCTAGTCAATTAAGATTGAAGTCGATCGCACCTGCCTCGTGTGGGATTCGAACTCAAAAACTCAGTTTTGACAGGCCAGTGATGCATTAATTGGACTACTTAGACCACTTGGCCACGGCGGACTAAACATGCTAGAAGGATATGACTTAACTTATTCACAAATTTATAAATAGGATGTATTTTATGAGGCTGTGAATCCTAAGTGAACCCAAAAGATATTTTATTTAGTCTTGTTTCTGTATTTTTGCAGCGTTTAAAACATGTTCTTTAATTTCAAAGCAACTAAATGTTCGTTCCCTAAAAGTAGTTGGAAAATAGAATATTTTACAACTATTAACTTCCCAGAATATGACTGTAGGCCGTTCTGATGAGTACTGGGGCTGTTTTGAATGCGTAAATACAAAGTCTACACCAGTACTTTTTATATATTTGCGAATAATTGAGCGATTTATTGAAGTAATTCTAGACTGTATCGATGAAAGTATTTAGAATAGAAACTTGATAACTTGATGTCTTAAGGGCAATTGGACCACATTTCCGAAGATATTATGGTTTCTTGGAAACTGTCTTCCCAGTAAATATTTCCTCTTTTGATTTCTTGGTTTAGAGATATTTCTTGGAACGTGTTCAAATACAATAAAAACTACAGATACTGCATTTGCATCAATAACACTTCATTGTAAGGAAGTATTACTAAAGTAGTTTTATATTATTATTTGATGTCATGTAGATTAGGTGATTGCATACATATCAGGATACAATATACTGAATCTCATTACATTAACGTTGAACATGCCTTTCATTCAAAATTAACAAAAGACTCAATCGTTTCTTCTTAAACAATAAAATGAAAAAACGGTTAAATCTGTTTTCCAATTAGTTTTGTTAAAAGCAGCTTGATCGCATTTTTGCTAGAGCTGTTGTATAGCTCAATTTATAATTCAATACTTGACGTAAAAGTGTGCTGAGTTATGCTTGTCTACTGATTATTGTGTCCCTTTCAAAGCACTGTATACCAGGTTAAAAAAAATCATCTATAACAACATTTCCACCAATAAATTTTAGAATTTCTTGTAATTAGTTTGACCTATTATAGAGTGTAATCAAATTAGACTAAAATGGAATTAATACGTATAGTATTTATGTTTTTATGACAGAACCGTAAATCATTACAAACAAATTGTCAAGGTGTCCTTGCCTAATATAATTAAGTAATTCAATAGATTTGCCAAAAAATATAAACACCAAATAGTTCTTTTAAAAAGACGATCGTTGAGTTTTTTTACTAATAAATTACTTTATACCGTGTATATGTAAATTAAATTTGATAAAGCGATATCCCTTTCTCGGAACGAATTGCGTGAAAAAAATGAAATATTATGTAGCATTGTCGCAACGCTGTGAATTGTTTCCTGGTACTGTTTTGAAAATCCAGAGAAGGTTGTACTTAAATTTGAGAATCATTGTGTTTGTATGCAAATTCATAGACAGACATTTATTTTCATTGGGTATTTGCTTGTTGACAATAAAATCATGATATATGAGAATAAAACGACAGAATGGTATACATTTGAAACAAATAATACAATGGAGCTTAATTACAGATTTCACGAAAGCTACTTAGTCAGGAGTATGACAGTTGTTTTCCATTCGTTTGATGTGTATGAGCTTTTGATTTTGCTATTTGATAAGGGACTGTCCGATTTGAATTTTCCTTGGAGTTTGGTATTTTTGTTATTTTACTTTTTACAAGATGGAACCATAACTGAAATGTTCATTTATAGAGAGCAAAACACCAAAAACAAAATAGTAAAATTATATAATTAGTAACCATTTTATATCGGATATTTGATACTTATATTCAATATTTATTATCCAACAAAAATACATATTGACTTCTTGTATTTATCAATGATAACCCCGTTTTCAACTTATTTTTATTATTAATTACTTTGTATGTAACGTACACTATATACATTGACAATGAAGGTCGGTAAAGAAATAAACCTCTCGTCGAAAAATATGACCTTAGTATTTCATTGTTGATCTGTCATATTGTGTAGCTTTGCTCCAGCAGCACATATGTTTGATGCGATATTCCAGACGACATTAGGAAAAGCGAGACTGTTTTGGAAATCTGCGTCACAGATGACAAAATTTATGTCACATTTTAATTCTGCTTTCCTCATTTCTGCTATAGATGTACAACACTAGTTAAGCCAAGCCTGCTTACCCCTACGGAACACCTCAGTAAACTCGTAGTCTTTTGAAAAAGACTAATTAACATTTTTCTTTAGTTTTCTTTTGTGTTATTTGTTAATGACTTTGATTATACCTTGATTTGTATATTCTTAATTTGTATCCCTTCAGGAGCGCCTGGGATAACCCCCGGGGTTTTTTGGTTGGGTTCGTGTTGCTCGGTCTTTAGTTTTTTTTATGTTGTGTTTTGAATACTGTTATTTGTCTTTTGATCCTGTTTTGTTTTATGTCATGGCATTTCCAGTTTGTTTTAGACATTTTGAATATCACTTTGGTATATTTCACCTCGGAAATTTGAACATTGGTAAACTACTGTAGCCTAAACTTTTTATGGTCTATCCACATGTGGAGCAGGATCTGCTTACCCTTCCGGAGCACCTGAGATCACCCCCAGTTTTTTGTGGGGTTCGTGTTGCTTAGTCTTTAGTTTTCTATGTTGTGTCATCTGTACTATTGTTTGTCTGTTTGTCTTTTTATTTTTGGCCATGGCGTTGTCAGTTTGTTTTCGATCTATGAGTTTGACTGTCCCTCTGGTATCTTTCGTCCCTCTCTGTCATGAGAAACTTTTCATTTTGTATTTCTACATGCCGTCATTTCATCAATAAATTTTACATGTACCGATGGTTTGTAATTTTTTTTATTTCCAAAGGTTATGTACATGAGACGTTTTACAATCCACTTTTAATGTTGCTTAAACACTCATTACCGGATTTTAACAGGAGAAACACAATGAATATTGATAGTAGAGCGGTGTTTCCTAAACTATTGTTTGATTTTTTTTTATTTATGTGCGTAAACCATAGTATTACCGAACTATTTTGATTGTCCCTTTGGTATCAGAAGATATAACAGTTGCAGAAGGTGTTTATGACACCTATTGACAGAGTATTTCATATTATGGTTTCGGTTGGAGGACTTGAAGAAAACGTTTCCGTATTCATCTTCAGACAACATATTTCTATTTTTCTCCAGTTTCGACTTTTTTGGTACTGTTCGATTTCTTGATAATTAATTTCTTAGCTTTAAGAGTTTAGATTAGAAAACTTTGAATGAAGAACAAATAGAAATGAATTTTTTTTAGAAAACTTTTGTTTACTGTGAGTCTATCATGCTATAGAAAAGACGGGACACAGAAACACTTCATTTTAAGCTGAGTCAATTACTTATCGTAGAATGAATGACTAAATATAAAACATAACGAGGAATCGCAGACCTTTCACTGATCACAATTAATAACATAGGTAGTCTGGACATGGTGAGAAAAAATCCTATGTAAAATAAAACGTATTTGTCTAGGTTATTTTGTATTATATCTCAATTTTGCATTGCAAATCTTTAGAAATAAGTTTATAAATTAATCATTTAGCTTAATTTCATTTCTTCAGGTTAACGAAAAAATAAAATGGGATCAAGCACACGGAGCACTTACATGTACACCATGTGTACTTTGTACTACTGGATACTATAATGACCGACGGGATTTCGACTGTAAACCATGTAATAACTGTTCCCAACAGAATCGTTACGAAATAGAACAATGTACATCAATATCGGATGTAAAATGTGGTGCTATAATCAAGTAAGTCTAATTAACTTAGTAATATGATACTAAAAGACCATCAAATAGCAATGGTTGCTAAAAAAAACAGATTAAGAAAAAAGGATTGAATGTTATCAATTTTCATAAAAGTTAATTGTCTTAATTGCCCCCAATGGTTGAGATTTTCACCAAAGATGCGAGGTATATAACTTAGTATGCCAGTTGCGTTTTAGTCTTCCAAAGACTCGTCAGTTGCGCTATAGGCAGCACAGTTGTAAACAAGAACAGTATTTACAGATTTCTTAATTGCCATGATTACTAGTACGTGAAACGTGTTTCAGTTATACTTTAGAGAGTACCTGAATTTGTTTAGATTTTTGACTTATTTCACTAAAGATCAGTTTAAAATTGCAATTTAGGTAAAACACGCCTAGTTCGACATGTTTTATGATTTCGCTGACATTTTTAAACAGAAGTGTCATGATAATAACTAACGTGATTTTGAAATTATTGAAGATTTCTACTATTTTTTAATTGCAGTAAACTATTGTCAAATAATGGCTCTTGTCAATTCTGATCCTTACATCCTTATATTAGGCCTTATACATTAAATGCAAGTATTGATTTTTTCTAAGGTACTGACATAAGCATGGCGTATACAAATGAGTATCTTATTATTTTCAGAACGGAACATCCAGTAACAGACAGCATACAAGCAAATCCAACGTCACTAAAAATAAAAGGTATGGTAAAATTAAGTCGTAAATGCTGGTGAAATAAAACTTTTACATCGACCGAAATATCATTAATCATAAAATATATAGTTATAAACCCTATAAAGTGAAAAGGGTATGTTGCTACTGGACGAGAAAAGTTTTGTCACAATCGAGAACCAATTATTAAGCATTGATTAAAGATTTGTACAGTTACAATTTAGATGCCAAACTTTTTTTTCAGAATTCCACATTTTGGTAACCCTAGTTGTAACTACAGTTGGTTCATGTGTGGTAATAGCATTAGTTTTGTTATGTTTCATTTACCAACGAAGGAGGTACAAATCAAAAGATGGTAAGTGTCCGACTTTCATATAATACACAGACATAAGATAAGATGTAAATACGTGATATTTGACAAATCACATCTTGGGAACAATATGGTTTTATAAAGAAAAAGACTTAAGTCTGTAAAGTAAATGCCAGCTACGATCAGCATTTTCATTTGTATTGTTGCTAATTATCATTTAATTCCTCTGTTTTTAAAGTGGACATCGCGGTAAGGATAACGTAAAGAAAGCTATGATATAAATAAAGGCAACAGTAGTATACCGCTGTTCAATAGTCATAATTCGATTAAGAGAAAACAAATCCGGGTAACAAACTAAAACCGAGGGAAACACATCAACTATAAGAGAAAAATAACGGATCAAACAAAAAACACTGAACTACAACAAAAGCAAACGCCAACGTACAAAAAAACCGGACTGTCTGATAACAACTGCCATATTCCTGACTTGGTACACACCGTAATAGGTGAAAGTCCAATTCAATGATTCATCATTGTTTTCAGTTGCTGTGAACTTCACTATGAAAAGTCATAAGTGAAAAAAATACAGAACCAATTTTGAACTCACAACAAATAGATTAAGCATATAAAGTGATCAAGGACGACTGCAAAAATACATCTTTTTTAATTCAGCAAACTTCTGTTGGATAACAGAGAAAAATATGTTATTCGAGAATTTATTTCATGATGTTGTATTGTCATCATCAGCATCATCATCAACATCACAATTGTTACAATTGTTAGCATCGTTATTATTACACTGTATCATTATTATTACTATTATTATTATCATCATTATCATTATTATATTTACAGGAAATTTTACCATGAACAACAACGTAGAGTGTAATGATTCCATGCAAAGGTAGGTTAACACGGAACATGAACTTGACTATCGCTCTTATTTTGAATATGAATGAAAGGAGATAGTCTAATACGTCATTGTCACAGCAATTAAAGATACAAACATTCCCAAAAGACAAACAGAGGTCAGCAAACAATAAAAACGTGTCAATACCACAGGTCAAGTTCTAAATCACCTCAGTGGGGTTAGTTGCATCAACTGCTTTCGAGTCTGGAGCACCTGCGACCATCACAAATGTCCAACTCTTTTGTATATAACTGATCTAAGGTTTTGGTTTTGTGTATTTGATATTCAGAATTTTGTAATATACTGTTTATATGTAAATTCTACTAGTCTGGATATGTTCTAATTGTAGTGAGTTGGTACATATCGGTGGTTGGTAGATCAAGAGTGCGAACATATAAATATATATATATATATATATATATGTATATATAATCATCAAAAACCACCATTATCGTTAATCTCCTGGTAAATAAAGTAATCATATTGCTATTATATTTTAATTAGAGAAAGCATTAGGCCGAAATTTTAGCACAATTTCAAACAAATATAATGCAAAACATTCAAATGATAGATAATTTGGACTACAAAATACATAGTGCGTTTATTGTGTCGCTGAGTAATACCTTAGAATTTGACCACCTGGAGTATTGTTTTTCGTGCATGTTTTAATAATATCATTTACCATTTCCTTTATTGACAGGGTACCACTGGTTGTTGTTGATAACAGAACAAGTGCACCAACATCACAAACGGGCGAAGACCGGGTATATGACGTATCTACAAAACAGAGCACAATTATCAATTTTCCTACATCTAGTAACACAATTTCACAACAGATGTCACCAGGGAGCGAAACAACGCCTAAGGTGGTTGCGACAAACAGTGATGATCAAAATAGGGAATTTCAATCTAACTCAGAAGTATCATCAAATCATCAGTGTTCATCAATAAAGGCAATAAATTCAAACAAATTAACAAACAATTGTGGAAAAATACACGGTCCACTATTGTGCTGTGCTACCATACTAGATTCTTCAATAGATGATGTGAGTAAAAGTTCAATGAGCACTGGAAGCTCTCCGTTAGTGTTAGACACTTTCCTTAATGAAAGAAATGACAAATGTCATGAGGCACTATCTATATATCCGGAAACATGTATGCTTAAGAGATCTAATTGTAGCATTTTAACAAACGGGTCTATGTTTAACCATGACAAAGAGTGTAGTCCTTCATACTTCTGTAAGTGTTATGACTGTTCGAATCACTAAAATCGTGTTGGTAATGTAGCTTCAATCTACTAGTTGTATTAGTGGTAGTGGTAATAGAAGTAGTAATAGTAATAGAAGTACTAATATATTGACTTAAGTTTTGAGAATTACATGTGTTCATATTTCGAATAAAAATATATATATTCAAGATACGGCATAGTGATAAAAAATATTATGTTTATACGTTAGCATTAATTTTTATTTTGTTGTTACGGATTGCATTAAATATAATAATGTATTCAAAATGAAAAATGTCTTACTTTAATCTATCTATATTGCACAGTATTTGATTTCTATTTTCGTACAATTTGCCTTTTATTGGTGTGCAATCTACTGATCAGCAATGTTAGTAACGACACAGAAACCAGAAATACACACTAGAAGTTAACTGTTAGTGGAGACTTCCGAAAATGTGTCATGAAAAGCAAATACTATCATGCTTTCTAAAACCAAAACAAAAATGATGATTGAAAGATAAATAAGCAAAGAACCAAAACTGAAACCGTTGTAACGTGTTTGGCTTATAAACTATCTGTTCGTATCCGTTTTCACAGAATCTGAGATACTCCAATATCAATCTTTTAATTAACTCAAAATCTAACTACAACTTGGAGGCTTTACTAAAAAACTATGAGACCAACCTTTAAACTTTGAAACTTAATAAAGAAACAACAATATTTACACAATTAACTTTGTATCAAAAAGTAGTCTAAAAACTATAACCTCAATTTATCCTTAATCCTTTCACCGACTCCGAGGTCCCAACCGATTTGCTCAACAATTATAACCTTTCAAAAACTATAAGAGGAAAAGCTTCAAAACCATAGGTTCCTGAGACACCTTGTTCTGAGACACCTAGTCTCTGAGACACCTAGTTCCTGAGACAACTAGTTTTGAAACACCTAGTCTCCGAAGCACCGAAGTCACCAGACTATTACAAACTACCTGTTCGAGGGACTGCGACCATTCCCGTGGGAAATTACAGTTTCAGAACAACCCGGTAGCTTGCAACAATCGTAAAGACTTATAAACCGCTTGCTTCAAACCACAAGCTTTCAACTCGAACTTGGTTTACAAACTTCTCAGTTAGACTTTCTTTATTTGCTGGTATTCTCTTTCCGATGCTTATTCATCAACAGCCAAATAACAAATGAACGAACTCGCGCAATGTATCGGTGTCTTTATATACCAATAGCGCGGACCTCAAGGAGAGCACCCTAGGAACAACGAGTCTCATAGCAACCAAGGATAAAAGGATGATTTTCCATGTAGTTTTCGTTAACGCATTGTTTAAACGGGTAATTTATTATGGATTACAATTAAACATTGAATTACAAATATTGTCTTATGCTTAAACTGCATTTCTGTCACACCGTCACGATTTTTAAAGCAACTAAAGAACGCATCAGAGGATAACTTACATTTTTTTTTGAATTTCTATATCTATTTATCAACTAAATATTTCTTAGGTTTTAATATCTAAGTAATATTTTCTCCAATCAAAAAGCACTGGCTGTCGGTCCTGTGAAACCAATGGCGACTTGCAGTTAACGGGAAGATGTTTGATCACCTGAGATCACCGCCAGTTTTGGATAGGGTTCGTGTTGCTCAGTCTCTAGTTTTTAATGTAGTGTTTTTTAAACTGCTGTTTGTATTTATTTGCTTTTCGTTATTGCCATAAAATAGTTTGTCGGTCTATTTTGATTCTTCCTTTGGTACCGTACGCCTTTTTTATCCCGTGGTCGTAATGCAACATTAGTTAACATGATATCACATGATGTGCCATGTGATCATTAAAAGAATTCATTTCTCGGCAGTGGTGCTCGAAACCAAGGAGAATGTTTAAGAACTTGACCAATTCTACATCATTTGTTGGCGAATTAATTTTTCAAATATTGATTTTAAATTAATACCACGTCAGAACATAAGTACTTGCCATCCTAATAGATTTGCAGACAACCGGATTACCTTGACCCAATGGTAGTTCTGCAAAATAGCAAATATATACCGAACTTGAATTGGGTGCAGAATTTATAAACATTGAAATAAATATTTAAATTATAAAAGTCATGTTAAATTAATAAATGTTCAATCATGACTGTATTTATTTCTCATCAACATGGAAACAAAATACTAGTATTGGAAATCGGAAAGTGTCGATCGTGAAAGACCATATATTCATAATAGTACCAGCAAGAGTAGCATGCAATTGACGAGTGTCAGTAACCATATACATATCTAAAGTGAATAAATAACCCCGAATCTAAATAAGTTATGAATTTATTCAACAGGGACTACCTAAGATCTACTATCAATCCTTATTCCTAGTGAATAAAAACAAACAGCAAACACAGACACTAAGATATACACAACTTCATTTACTAAAGGAGTGCCTGACTGGTTGGGGACAGACATGTGTTCTTTCTTGAGTCAAACTGAAATAATGATTGTCGGATAGCGGGCAATGACTAACATATATCGAATGAAGAAAGCCACAAAAATTTAAGGAAAGGATACTAATTGGGTTTTGAATAAAGTTTTTGATAGAAAAAAAACACAGTTCAAATAATTGACCAATTGTAAGTCTTCATGTGTGTGTCTAGTATGAGCATACAGTATGTTACATTGTCTTAATGTGTGTGTCTAGTGTGAGCATAAAGTATGTTACATTGTCTTAATGTGTGTGTCTAGTATGAGCATAAAGTATGTTACATTGTCTTAATGTGTGTGTCTAGTATGAACATAAAGTATGTTACATTGTCTTAATGTGTGTGTCTAGTATGAGCATAAAGTATGTTACATTGTCTTAATGTGTGTGTCTAGTATGAGTATAAAGTATGTTACATTGAACAATTTGATGACTACTTTATTTGGCATATTATCTATTGTAACTGTTGGAAGACGACCATTTGATATTCTGGGGAGGGGGAGGGGACAGGAGGATTTTTGCGGAATGCCTATTCATTTTCGTCCGTTGCTACGCATGCATATTTTCTTCCGCGGCTTCGCTGCACGAAAATTTATTTTCACTTTTGTATTTCATCCTGTCGTATGCAAGGTTATTTATTTTCAACTCTTGTCAGACCAGGATTTTCAAAATTATCTTCCCCCTCCAGAAAAGCAAATGGTCGTCCTCTTGTAAATATCTTCATATATTATATTCATTTAGGTTTGGTTGCTACAGATTCATACATTAGTATTATGAATGGTCAATTGCAATTTTATATTGTATAATACAAGCTTATTTAAATGTTTGTCTTCTTATGACACAAATCTATTCAATAAGTATTCCCAAAAAATAAGTTCTTAAAGTAACATGCGATGAAAAAGTCATTGAAATTTGAACAAGATCAAAAAGATTACGTCGTAACTTCCGCTTTTAAAACAATTAAGTATGTAATCAAATTCAATCTTTTTGTTGGAACCTTACTTTCAAAACTGTAAATGAAGGAAGTAATGTTTTATAATAATCAATATGTGACACTCTAATAAATTTATTATTATAACGAAAATAGAACACTATGAGCGAACATTGAACAAAAGACCACGACGGTATACGAAGTATTGATTGATTGATTGTTTGTTGCATAATGTCCAGTTGAAAATATTTCATGCATGGCCAGGACGAGAACTAATAAACAATAAAAACAATAGGTAGGTTCCGTAATAGAGGCCGTCTGGAAGGTCGGGGAGATTTAGATTGCCACAGGAGAATGCGGGTATATTGGATAGGGACAGAAATTTGGCCATGCAACAGTCTATCTACTGACGCTTCAAAGAGTTGCTGCAAGGGTTCGTAACGTGCAGTGAGCATGGTACTCTCTTTACGCGAGGCATCAGATTTAACGTCTTCATTCTGACGCGACGTTGCTGCGTACTTGTACATCCCGCACGCCCAAAGGACGCCCTACTTTGGCAAGGGTTTTACTGTCGGTCTGTAGAGGAGACCACCTATTCCCCAGTCACCATTGGGAGTTTATATGAATTAAGAGAGATAACTCAATTTTAATAACTGAAACACTTACATGATACACACACATTACTCATCGACTTGATATGCAGGTTATACGTCAATGCAAAAAAAAATATATATGTTACATAACATGACTTCATCTACAGGTCAAGACTATTTCAAATACAAGATAAGACCCCAAAATTAAACTGGTTTGATCCACCAATTCAACAATATTCTAACGAGATATTAACACAATTCAGCTAACGAGAACAGGAAACCGTTTATTCGTCATAAATGTGCTCAGATTAAAGTCATTTTTCTTTTATTTTGTAATGATTACAATTTGACATGCTAAAATTACATATATTAGACACAATAAAAATAAGAAGCATTCCTAAACACTAAAAAGCGAAGTTAAAGGCTGGCCTGCTTGACAGCTAGCATACTATGTGCTTTTTATAGAGATGAGTCTTATTGTCAAAATATGGACGTATTATTTACTTTTGGATTCCAATGTTTGGAGACTAATTTCCTAATGTTCCCCGTATCTATCTAAATATGGTCGCTTACCAGGTATTTCAAATCCTGACTTTAATTAAAAGGCAAAATCAGGAGCATTGTGTTGGGCACCGGTCATCTATCTTTTATGGGGCATGATTATTTCGACTTAAATAAAAAAAATCAAGTTTTTAGTTTCTTCCGGTAATTAATATCCATGAGTCTGAATGTCCTTTACTTTGTTTATGAAATAAAAGTGCTAAACGCAAGTGCATAAATGTTAAAAAAAACTAGTATATGCACAACTCGATATGATACAATAAATTGAAATAAAGACTTATACATAATAGATATATAATGCATGAAAAAAACCCAACATATTCAGTTCATGAAATTAATGCGCAAACAAATTTTATCATAGGCAAAGTATTACTCCTAAACATTTTATGAGACAGGTAGAATAACTGAAATACGATAAATTTCATCAATGTCATTCTATTTCTATAAGGTTACAATCCTGGTTTTCGAAAGTAACTTAGGACTAAGACAGATCCTAAGATTGTCTTTATACACACCTTAGCCGTAATTGTTCAAATTGTATTAAGTTAAGACAAATCATAGGATGTATTGTAACAATGAGGCGGAGGAAATTAAAACTCATATGTCGAAGAAAAACTGACAACGTCATGGCAAAAATCAAATGACGACGAAAAGACAAATAAACCCATAAAACACTACATAAAAAACTAAAGAATGAGCATACAACATTAACCCCCACCAAAAACTGGATTGGTCTCAGAAAACGTAAAGGATATAAAAAAAAATGTCCAAAGATGGTCGCAGGGTAGTTATAAAAGTATTTTCTTTACAATTTCAAATATATCGATAAAAATGAGACTTTTTATTCTTTTAGTTTGTAAATAATAACTATCTGCTATGTTGTAACAAAAGGAGAAATTTTTTTCTTTTGTAAATAATAACTATCTGCTATGTTGTAACAAAAGGAAGACAGTTAGTCATCTCATGTTGCAATTCTAATATGTACTGTCTGTTAAATATAAAACATGACTAATTGAATCATCTAACATGTTAAATGCATATCATAAAGAGTTGAATTTTTTTTATTGCCATTAAAAGAGCACACGAAAGACTTGATTACGCTGCATATAAATATAGGCAAATGTACGACATGTGAAATCTGTCCTATAAATTTTAATCGTGTAAGCCTCGACATCTTTTAACACATCATGCACTTTTCTCAAATCTTATAACACTCCAAAGAAAACTTCAATACATTGTATAATACTTTATTATACTTCGTTTTTTAATCTGATATTCGTGATGAATATCTTTAATTATTTTCCCTCTTCTTTGTATTTTGTTATTATTGTTATCACCAGCTGGGACATAAGTCGTTTTCATTCAATAAACTATCATTATCATTAAGTACTATAAAAAGTTGATTTTTTATTGCTTAACGTCCAGTGGCAGATTAATAATTTAAGTATTAATATTAAAGTAAATAAAATATATAGTTATAATATTAATGTGTCTTTTAAATATACTTAGGCCCGTCCTAATCTGATTGTCATCCTGACTGGGACCATCTTAGAACAGATTTGATCTACAGTCTTAGACGTACATGAATCTTCTCAAGTATGCAATGAAATATATATCTCATGACTTCTCTTGAAGTTTTTTTCTAGAAAACCAGGGCCCATGTCTTTTGTGTTTTTTCATGAACTGTACTTGTTTGTCTTGTTATCTTTTTTATATTGGTTATATAAATGGTGCTGCCCGTTATCTTTTTTATATTGGTTATATAAATGGTGCTGCCCGTTATCTTTTTTCCCTCGGTATCTTTCTTATTTAAGCAATTTTTGAAATTACTTTTCCAAATATTATTCTTCAAGCACATCTAACTATAATGGATATGAATAGCTATCGAAAGTGAAACAAGTATGCATTAAACTAAGGAGTTGTGGTTTGATTGCCAATCAGAGAACTATCTAGCAGAGGGAAAAAGGACCCGATTGATCGTTTTCTAGCAGCTGTTACGGTTCTGTGGTGTATTACAATTGGTTTCAATCGTTCAGGGTGGTTCCAGGGTTCGGGGAAAAGATGCCATGGTAATGATTATTGTGCCAAGCATAGCGAATTGGTTTCTAAAAAACTATTTAATGTAAAAAAAAATGATACTTTTTTCCGATCAACTCTATGTCCCCACCTGTTTCCGCCAATTTAGAGATGCTTTTTATTTAAATTTTCATTAAGTAATTTAGTTGTCATTTCCCACAGAATTATAATTATAGGCCGATTGTATAAGTGTAAAACCTAAGATTTTAAGTAGTTATCACCTTACAAAAAATATATGATGCTTTTTGCATTCGATCTTTCGTATAATATAACATGGCATGCATAATGATTAACTGCGTATATAAAAAAAAAAATTATAAACTAATTTTTTATGATAAATTTAAAAAGATAATCAACAAAAAACGGTAATTACGTAGTTCCGTGTGAACGCACATCAAAGGGTTGTTAAATTATATTATGTTAAAGATTATCTCATATTACTCGAAATCATATTACAATACACAAACTAGATTAAAATTAGCGATTGTAAGTGGTCATGTCAGTGTAACGTTTGCGGTTCACTGATTGATGTATTGGCGCAGGTAGTCTAGTGTGGAATGTCTTCATGCTCGAGTGATCATCGCGAGATTGTTTACAGTCTGACAATGTTCCACTGTGTGTGAGCTTGACCACAAAACTGGACACAATGGCGAACGAAGAAAATGATGAAAGTTGGAATTTAAAATTACGACAGGATACTGAGCAAGAATTTTTTACGGAACTTGCGCTGCACGAAGCTGAACGATGGATACAGGTGAGAATCCGCGGAAGTTAACTGTCCAAAAATCATCAATTATATTATGCCCTAGATTCTTGACATAATTTGCCTTCGGCAATGTAAATATTTTTTTTCAATGTTTACAAAATGAAGATGTTTCTATACTTGTGTAGTGTAAAGATCATGCTAGATAAACATCGAGGTTAGCACGTGTAAAAATTGCATTTTAAAAACCAACTGCAGCTGAACATGTGAAACGCAGTATAATTTAATTCTTATACAAATGCATAAATAAATTTTCTTTTTTCTGATTCATTTAAAAATGTAGTCTTATTCAGCATAAAATATGTATGAAAAATACTTCATGTCGGAGATATCTTGCCATGGAAAAAATACAAGCTGTCACCGTGGAATAAAAAATCGTTCACAAAAACGCTCTATAAAAACTCTTGAATTGAATGGAAAGTAATTACACAAAACGCATAGTATTCATGCATTTATACTTTGAAACAAGACAACAAGGGATTATAATTATAAAAATAAATGGACCCTGAATTTTAAAAAGAATTTGTCGTCAAAAACTATAATAGTTACCACAGAGAGGTTATTCAATTTTTAAAGACGAATTACAACGGAAAATACTTTTAAGTACACAGTAACTATGATAACTGCATATTACAAAGCAAATACAGTAACCAGAATTGTGCAAATCAAACCTACTAACAAAAAGAAAATGATATGCCCAATAGCAATAAAAATGAAATTAAAGGTGTAGTTTAATTTGTACCTCAATATTTTTATTGGAATGATATTGTTGACAGTCTGAAGTAAGGGCTAAATGTCACATCCGAGTCGATCCAACACATGTTTTTTTGACACCCTATATTGTAAATGGTGCCCAGGATGAACATGTGGTCATTTTGAAACCTTGAACAGAGCAGGAGTTATATATATATAGTATTAGCAATTGTTAGTTCCTTAATGTTCCATTATGTTTTTATTGAATATTGTTTGGCTTGTATGAACATAATAGCTCTATCTTTATATAAAATGCAGAACCAGGATTTTGAAAAGGGGGGAGGGTGTCAGACAACGTAGGAGTGGGACATGTTAAAAGTCTATGCTGTACTCTTATGTGTAGCTCCATCAGGGGGCCTTGCACCCCTAAAATCTGCCTTTGAAATGATCTGATAGGCGTTAAATGTACCTTTCTCCATGTTCTCTGAAATATTTTTTATATAATGAAAACTTAATTGCATATTTCATCCATGTGTGTTATACAGTACACTATACCAGTATAAGTCTTTTAGTGATAAGAGCAGTTACAATGTATGCAATCCAATTTACATTTTTAATAACCTTAAATAATTCATATAATGATTAAAAAGTATAGATAAAAATGTGTGGAAATTTCAAATACAGTCTTCAATTCAGATGTAACAATATTACAACTTTGAATACTGAAACCTGTCTATAGTTGTTGAATATTGCATGTTGCCCTTTAGATGTTTTTTGAAAATTTTTGTCATTTGGTTGCTAGTGTCTCATATTGATTGACAGAAACAGACACCTTTTATTCATATGAACTTCAGGATAATGAGGGCTTTGTCTTTTCCCCTTTACATGCTACAGAATGTAGAGTGATTCATGATATTTCTTAGTGTATAATACATTTATAGATCATCACCTGGCACAGTCACCCACTAAAATCAAAGTTGTATTTTGCCTTAAACACAAAAAAAATTTCTTCCTCTCTCTCCTGTCAGAATTGTTAGGGTCACTTCCAAATTATGATCATCACAGTTTCCCCTGGGACCCTATCTGTTGTTGCACCCATCAATAAATACCTGTTGTTAGTTGACATTCTGTCTCTGACCTTTTGACCTGACACAAAAAGGAGAGAGAGCACAGAAATTGAAGTAAAATTTATTTCATGACAATAATTTTAACTGCAGACTCACTTAAACTCACCTTTCATGAATAAAAATGAAATTCAGGGGCGGATCCAGCCATTTATAAAAGGGGGGGTTCCTAACCCAGGATAAGGGGGGGGGGGGTTTCCAACTATATGTCCCCATTCAAATGCATTGATCGTCAAAAAAAGGGGGGTTCCAACCCCCTGAACCCCTCCTTGGATCCGCCACTGAAATTTAGTATACTGTGGATTAATTATTATTCATGGGATACCAATAATCAAGAATTTCCAGAGTTTAGATGAACCACAAGTTTATACGACCAACAAAGTGCAAATTTTTTATTTAAGATTTTATGCAGACTTTGAAAATCAAGAAATCAAATTTTCATGAAAAAGACATTCTTTCTAAAATCCATTAAAATTGGTATCCACAAAAATAAATGTATCATTACATGAAGAAAAGTTATCAAAGGTAAACAAAAATATTTACTTATTTTCGATGCCTTCTGGCAGAAAAATAGGGCATGATGTACATGTAGGAATGTTAAACATGTTAAATTTAAGGGACAATTTTTCTGAACAATTTTTGTCTTAAGAGTAAGGAGAAGGGAAGTAGGAGTAAGGCCCGGGGGTGGGGATGGATGGGAGGGAATTGGGAGTAGAGTGGAAAGGTTGTGGGAGTTGGGGGTAGGGAAGTGTGAATCAGGGACCTCCTGTCCACCAACTCTTAACAGTGCTTACAAAATGTACTTATATTGTAAAATTGACAAAACATAGTTTAGGGTTGGGGCTCAAAATGATAGTAGGTAGGGAAACCGTTAAGCCACACATTATGACATATTATATTTTGCCAGATGCAAGGAAATATTCTGGCCTGCCTTTCACATAAATTATACTACTACAATTTATTGTAAGTTAATACTTTTGAATTGTAAGATTTTTTTGTAATACAACTATCCTGAACTTTAACAGTGATTAACCAAAAATGTCAGGACTTTAAAAATTTCTTAAACAAAAATGAGCATAAAAATGTTTTAGGGTAGACATGGTTGACATCAAAATAAAAATTGGTAGGGACGGCAAGAAACTTTTCTTTTTAGCCTAAGAAATAATGCCCAATACACATCAGTGTTTATATAATATATTACAACTAAAGAATTGCTGCCATGCAAAGGTGTTAATAATCTCTGTTTTTCAAATAAAAAAAGAAGGAAAATGTGTATTTTTAAGCTTAAGTGTATTGGTTTACCTCACTTCAAAGGCGAGCATTGTTATTTTGTAAATACTTTTGTCAACAATATAGAAGAATGTATACAGAGTTTACTGACTTGAACATAGTTTATTTACAAAGTTAAGATAGGACCATAGTCGTCTGATAAACAAACAGATTACTATATCCAGGGTGATTTCGAAAATAGGTATAATTTGTAGATAATACAAAATTACTTTGTTTAATCAGGTTTCGCATATCTACGTGATGATAAACAATCAAATTAGTTGAATTTCAAATTTTCTTAAAGTCTGTTTTCTGAAGTTTTAAATTCTAATACATGTACTAAATTTATAATTCAAAGTATTCAAATATATTAACTTTGGACTAATTGTGAATCAAACAATTTTTTAAAAAACTTTAACTTTGTTATCTTATGAAATATAATATTATTTAGGCATTTGATTTTCCTAGTTTTGTTTTAAGATTTTTAGACTTTCAAAACTTTTTATTTCAATAAAGCTTTCAAGCATGTGGATAAGCCTACATGACCTAACAACAAGTCAATACAAATAGAATTGCTATTGCAAGGAATAGGGTACGCCAATTGCCTAGATTACAGTGGTCATTTTGAAATTTCTTAAGTCAAATTCCACATCTACCATGTCTACACATGCCAGTTAACATTTCTGTAAATTTTCATTTTAAAAGTTTGGAGCATTTTATAATATTTAAACATTTTTGCTGTTTCGATGATAATGGCCACTATTTTAAAAATGTCAAAGTCAAATGGCACATTTACATTTGTCAGTTAACATTTCTGTAAAGTTTCATTCAATTTGATGCATTTTAGTATTTTTCACATTTTTGCTAATTTTTTGATAACTTATTCCACAACTATACATTAAAGATAACATCTCTAAAACTTTGTACATTTGATCTTATAATCTTTAAAAAAAAATGCTACTTTTGTGTTTTCCCATATATGTTGAATATGTTCTGGAAAATGTTGCTCCGAAGATCTCCAACATGTCCAAAATTACCCAAATCCTGTATGTAGCGGACAGCATGGCTGTATTAAGATTTCATGATTTTTAGTCAAATTAACAATGATTAATCATCAGAAAGAAAACGATTCCATTTGTGCAGACTTTTCTTTGGTGAAGGGTGGCCATTTTAAAAATTCCAAAGATTTCATGCTCATATACAGCTGGTGGTCCTCATTACGTTCCAACTGTCCATGAGAAATGTCAGGGACAAAAAAGTTTGAAGAATAAGAATAATAGTGAAGAAACAGAGGAAAAGCAATATGCATGTCTCTTGACATTCGTTCACGGTGACATAATTCCTAAAATCTACCTGTTTTTTCATTACTTTCATCCATTTTTGTATCCCCCCACCCCCTACTATTACAGATTGTCCCCACCCCTACTATTACAGATTGCAACACAAATCCCCCTTCTTTATAATTGAATTCATTACACACAGTCATTTACACATTGATGTTTAATATATTTTCATGTTAACTTCTGTCATTAACTCTTGGAGGTGTCCTTAAGCGGCCTGTTGGAAAGTAAAATTTCTACCTCTGTCCAACATGCCGTTGTTGCCAGTAGAAATCTAACTTTTCTGCCCTTGGTCTCTGTCATCACTCCTTTCAGGACCTAATTTTGTCCAGAATATAAATAAATGATTGCCACTGGAAGTTATTAGCAAGCAATAAATCAATCAATCTGTCATTTTAAAATATGATGCTTCTTAGTTTGATAATGATATTGACAATCAGTTAATAAGTTATATTAATAATTTGTATGATTTCCTTTTTCATATTGTTGGTTACCATGAGAATTTAGTTTAACTTCAATTAAGGCATGTCATATCAAAATTGGGGACAGATTACCCAAATAGAAA